TGACCCCTTCCCGCACCTTCCCAGGGTATGTGAGCATTTCCTGTCACATTCGGCCTCTTCCATTTCAGCTAAGTATTCATCACATGTACCAGCTGTAACTTTGGCGGTTTGAGGTGTGACGGTAAAACTAACAACTTTTTTTTCCTTTTTCACAGGCTCTGTTATTTCCTTAGGTCTCTTTTCTTTGGGTTTTTTGAGACAGGATTCTCTATGTAACAGCCCTGGTTGGCCTCGAACTCAGAGATCCACCTACCTCTGCCTCCTAAGTGCTGGAATTAAAGGCGTGTGTCACCACCTGGCTTTCTTTATCTAAACTTATTACCTCATTCCTTGTAGAAAGCATGAAACTTTTTGGCTAATGCCCTGTCCCCGTTGCCTGGGAGTGGAGTGGGGAGTTAGGATCACTTGCTACTCTTCCAGAGGACCCAACTTTGGTCCCAGCACGCACTTTGGTTCATAATTGCCTATAACCCCAGCCCCGGGGATCCGCTACTCTCTTCTCGTGTGCACATATACCCACTCCCAACCTACACATAAATAAAATCGTGGGGGACTGGAGAGATGAGTCAGAGGTTAAGAACACTGGCTGTTCTTCCAGAGGTCCTGAGTTCAGTTCCCAGCAACCACATGGTGGCTCACAACCATCTGTAATGAGATCTGGTGCCCTCTTCTGGCATGCAGGGATACATGCAGGAAGAACACTGTATATATAATCTTTAAAAGGGGGGGCTGGAGAGATGGCTCAGTTAGGAGCACTGTTCTTCCAGAGGTCCTGAGTTCAATTCCCAGCAACCACATGTGGCTCACAAGTATCTATAATAGGGCCTGATGCCGTCTTCTGTGTTGTAGGCAAACATGCAAGTATGGTAAATAAAGTCTTTTTAAAAATAAATCTTTAAAATTTTTCCTGATGTCCTCTTTACATTCCAGATTGATTTCGAATTCTCAGTTCTGCCCAGGACTCCCAAATTCTGGAACTACAGGTCCATGCCAGCACAGTTGGCAGCACCAGTAGTACCGTGCCTTTGAGTCCGGGATAAAGTACAGTGAGGATGGCTTGGACCCAGGCAGTAGGACATAGCCTTGTCTGCTGACATGAATGAAGGTGGTTAACATACAGTGTGGATACACACAACAAAAATTTGATTCACATGCTTGGCAAGCTGAAATGGAACTGAGTGAGATTTCGTTGCATTATTCAAAATTAGTTGTAATTTAAGATATTTCTAGAATTTTCCATGTAACATTTCTAGGTTATGTGAAACCATAGTAATCCAAACCATGGATAAGAATGGTGAAGGGAGGGGGCTGGAGAGGTTAAGAGCAACGACTGCTATTCCAGAGAGAGGTCTTGAGTTCAATTCCCAGCAACCACATGGTGGCTCACAATCATCTGTAATGATGTCTGGTGCCCTCTTCTGGCCTGTGGGCATACATGCAGACAGAGCACTGTATACATCAGAATGGTGAAGGGTGTCTGAGTAGAAAAAGAATGATGAGATGTTCAATTCATTATAAAAAAAGAACAGGCAGTGGTGCCGCATACCTTTAATCCAGAACTCAGGAGGCAGAGGCAGGCAGATCCCTAAGTTTGGGGCCATCTTGGTCTACTGAGTAGGTTCCAGAACAGAAAGCTAAAGAGGAATCCTGCCTCAACAGAAAAAAAAGGCTGAGCCGGTGTTGGTGGCCCACATCTTTAATCCCGGCACTCAGGCAAAGGCAGGTAGATCCCTGTGAATTTGAGGACAGCCTGGTCTACAGAGTGAGTTCCAGGACAGCCAGGGCTACACTGAGGTAGAGGCTGCCTTTTGACTTTGGGGGAGGACTGGAAAGATGACTCAGTGGTTAAGAGCACTGACTGCTTTGGAAAAGAATGGAGTTTGATTCCCAGTACCCACATGTCAGTTCATAATTGTCACTCGGCTCCCAGGGGATCCGAAGACATCAGGTACACCTACATAACCTACATACGCAGCACACATTCAGACAGCAAACCCATAAGGTAAAATTTAAGAGGCCAGGAAAAGTTCCTTGTGTCAGTCCCTCTGAACCCACCTGCCATAGTCAATGCCTACAGTCCAGTCCTATTCCTAAAGTAACTGGATCCTGAAGCAGTTGTCAGTGCTTGGAGGCAGATCTGCCCATGTCCAACTTCTGATGGTGCTCCACCTGTCAGACAGCTCTAACATTTCTGACCCACCAAGAGCTAATGGTAATTTTCCTTGCTGTCACAGTCATCCTCATATCAGGTAAGCATTCTGGCACTGTGTACATTGGAAGCACTGGGTGTTGTCAAGCTACTGCATTTGGAGTGTCTAATGCATTGGTGTTTAAGAAAACTGGATTTTGGGAATTGGATTTCTTTCTACAATGCAAATACGGTGAATGCGCTTTGTAAACACCTGCTGTTTTGTTTGAAGCTTTACGCGCTTAAGCAGATAGCTGTTCTACCACACTGTGTGTGTGTGTGTACACATACACTTTGTGTCTCTAAATCTGTTGCTTTGTATAATGTAGCCTTGGCTGTTCTAGAACTCGCTCTGTAGACCATGTTGACTTCGAACTCATAGAGATCTGCTTACCTCTGCCTCCTGAGTGCTGGGATTAAAGGCACTTGTATCAGAAGTTATTTTTTTAATCTTAGGTTTATTTTTACATTATGTACATGAATGCTTTTCCTTCATATATGTAGAGGCACCACCCTGGTGCTCATAGAGGTCAGAAGAGGGCTTCAGATCCCTTGGAACTGGAGTTATGGATGGTTTGTGAGTCACCATGAGGGTGTTAGGAACTTAATCTGGGTCCTTTGCAAGAGCAGCAAGTACTCTTAACCACTGACGTAGAAGTCAATGTGTAACAGGATGACCTTGAGTGTCTGTCCTCTTACCTCTGCATTGCTGGTGCTGTGGGTGGACCCCAGAACCCAGTAGATACCAGGCCAAGGATTCTACCAACAGAGCTATATCAGCAGCCCTTTATTAGTTAATTGTCTCCCAGAAGCCTTCAGATGTTCATTCCTCAATGAATCTTCACAGCACTAAGATTTGGAACCAGTATAGTGCTTACAGTGAAATAGTGCACGAAGAAACACCTTCCCATTTTAAATTGGGAACTGAAACATGAAGACAACGTTACTATCATGTTCTGTAATGCCAGTTTCACCAGCTTTTGACCAAAGCTTTTCCAGTAAATCTCTACGACCTAAGCACTTATTTCACACCGATCTTACTGGCTTTATTTCTATGGTGTTGGACATTGAGCCCGTGGCTTTGTGCATACTTGACAAACTCCATCCCAGGACTCTTGTCTTATAAATGATAAGTTATGCATCATTTTTCGTGTTGGGGACTAAACGCAAGACTAGCAGGCACTCAACCATATCTTAGTTACTGTTCTATTTGCTGTGAGAGACACTGTGACCAAAGAAACTTAACGAGTACTTGGGATGGGGGCTGGAGAGATGGCTCAGAGATTAAGAGCACTGGTTACTCTTCCAGAGGTCCTGAGTTCAATTCCCAGCACCCACATGGTGGCTCACAACCATCTATAGTGGGATCTGATGCCCCCTTCTGGCATAAAGGTGTAAATGGAGATAGAGCACTCATACTTAAATAAATAAATAAAATCTTTTTAAAAAAAGTACTTGGGGACTTGATTACAGTTCAGAGGATTAGTTCATGGCCATTATGGAGGAGATCATGGCAACAGCCAGGCGTGGTGCTGGTACTTACAGCTGATCTGCAAGGCGGAGGCTCAGAGAGCCAGGGCTGGCTTAGGTTTTTTTAAAACCTGAAAACCCATCCCCAGTGACGCATCTTCAGACAAGGCTGCCCTTCCCTATCCTTGCTAAACAGTCCACCAAGTGGGAACCAGACACTCAGTTATATTAACGTATAAGGACTGTTTTCATTCAAACTGCCACAACCATTCAGGTATGTGATTGCATTTTTGGGCCTCTGTCCCCTGCTACCTGTGAATGATTTATTGCTTCTGAGGGATGTGCCTTGAGACAAATCTTGTTCCCCTTCCTGGTCCAGTTACCTTGGGACACATGTTCTTTTTTTTTTTTTTTTTTTTTTGGTTTTTCGAGACAGGGTTTCTCTGTATTGTTTTGGAGGCTATCGGTCCAGCCCAGCCTCGAACTCACAGAGATCCGCCTGCCTCTGCCTCCCGAGTGCTGGGGGGGACACATGTTCTTTATATACTCCAGTTTCTTCATGAACTGGGTGTAACATGAATAATAAAAACCCAGAGACAGGCCGGGCGTTGGTGGCGCACCCCTTTAATCCCAGCATTCAGGAGCCAGAGGTAGGCGGATCTCTGTGAGTTCGAGGCCAGCCTGGTCTACAGAGTGAGTTCCAGGACAGGCTCCAAAGTAATACAGAGAAACCCTGTCTCGAAAAAAAACAAAAGAAAAACAGAAGCAAAGCAGCCAAGCCACTAGAGAGCTCTCACCTCTACAAAGGCTGGGGCGATCCTGACCGCAACAAGGCTGTAGACTAACTGTCCAGAATATGGGACCCTGCTCCTGGTTTATATTTTCTCTAGTGCTGGCATCGAAGGTGTGAGCTGTTTCTCTTTTAGACTGATTCTCTCTCATGTAGCCCAGGGTGGCCTTGAACTCAAAGAGACCCATCTGCCTCTGTTTTCTGAGTCCTGGGATTAAAGGTGCATACTACCACTGCCTAGCCTCTATGGTTGTGGCTAGCTTTGCATTCTGATCCCCAGGCAAGCTTAGGTCATAAAAGTATCACCACAACTGGGCTCTTTAGAGCAATGAAGAGTATCCCTAAGGAAAAAACATACTTGATTCTAATCCTGCATGGTAGTCCATCACCAGGAAGACAGAGGCAAGTAGAGGATCTCTTGTGACTTTGAGGCCAGCCTGGTCTATATAGGGAGTCCCAGGTCAGCCAGGACTGTATAGTAGAACCCTGTCTCAAAAACGGGTGGGCTGAAATGATGGTTCAGCAGTTAAGAGCAAGCACTGACTGCTCTTCTAGAGCCAGGTTTAATTCCCAGCACCCATGTGGTTGGTGGCTCACAACTGTCTGTAGCTCCAGTTGCAAAAGATCCAACACCCTCTTCTGACCTTCAAGGGTACCAGACACACATGTAGTACACAGATACACTAAAACAAACAACCCTCCACCAGTAACAGCAACACTTGATAGATGTTTGCTTTCATTGCAGATTAGGGAGTTGAGGCTGAGACTAGAGTAGCTTAGCTCATGTCTTCCTGTGGGGAATGAGTCTGTGGGCATGCATAGTGAGCTCGGCGGAGCAGTGCCTAGCCCGAGACCAGATACTCAGTGTTTGTTCCATACCTGGGACCTGTGGCTAGGGCTGGTAATCAAAGAACTGCCTTGTTCTCAGGCCTCTCAGCACAGGAAATTCCAAGGTGGTTTTCTATGCTGACCCCTCTTGTTAGGTCTCTGGAGGATCCTGGTACCTAAAATGACTTGAAGAAGGAAATCAGATAGCCCAGCCTGCCTATCCGGGTCTCTGAATATCAAGGGGGTGCTGCTATTTGGAGTGGCCTGGCTTGCTTTGGGCTCAAGTGGGCATTTTCTTTGGCCCATAGCCCTTACCCTGTCTCTGAAATGGTTCTGGCTGAATAACAACCTTGGGGGAGTGAGTGGGGGGTGTAATTTGGTTTGGGGCGGAGACAGGATTAAGAACACAGTTTTCCTTGTGACTCAGCACGGAGGGAGAGGGCAGGAGGAGTCTGGAGACCCTGTTTCTCACTTTGGTCATCCTCGGCCCAAGATGGTGTGGTTCCCAGTGCTCCTTGGTGTCATCTTGTCTGTTTCCCCAGGGCCTACTGAGGCTGAACGTGACATGCCCAAGCTGGCTGACTGGAAGCTGTGTGCGGATGAGGAATGCAGCCGTAAGCCTCGGGGAGGAAGGGTGAGGGGCTGAGGGCTTGGAAGGCCGGTCTGTGTTCAAGTTGCTGTCATTCCCTTCTCCTCCAGATCCTATCTCCATGGCTGTAGCTCTTCAGGACTACATAGCCCCGGACTGCCGCTTCTTGAACATATATAGGGGCCAAGTGGTGTATGTCTTCTCCAAGCTGAAGGGCCGTGGGCGGCTCTTCTGGGGAGGCAGTGTGAGTCTTCAGAGTGAAGGGTATGGGGTATGAGGTATACCCTGTTTTCCATCTGAAGGGGAAATTTGGGTGGGTGGGGGAAACAGAAAATTGGGGGATAAGGTTATTTTATCACCTACTGCATTTTTACTTTAGCAGCTCCAGGGCAGCTTGGTTCCCAGCTCTTTTCCAGGCCTCGGATACAATAGTGAACAAACAGTCCCTTTCAATTCTATGGGTAGAGGCAGGCAACCAGAGAGCCATCAGAAGTGGCAGCAAACGCGCCCCCGTGAGGATTAGTTATGGAGGCTGCATTCTGCCCATGAGCAAATAACATTTAAGCTGAGATTCAAGTTAGAGAGAGAAGATTGTGTCCTGGAGTTCAGCAGGCATGAGTACCATTTTTTCCCCAGATGGACTTATAAGTTCTTCTCCAGGTTCAGGGAGATTACTATGGAGACCTGGCAGCCCGCCTGGGCTATTTCCCCAGTACCATTGTCCGGGAGGACCTGATTCTGAAACCTGCCAAAATTGACATGAAGACAGATGTGAGTGTCTTGTGCTGGAGGTGGGAGTGGAGGGTGAGGGCTCCTTCACTTTCTCACCTGTGAGAAGTAATTAGTTTTGTTATTGTTAGTAATATTTGTATATATTTTTCTTGAGACAGGGTATGTACCCAGGCTGGCCTCAAAATCACTAGCCTTCGGCTTCAGCCTCTTGAGGGCTACTTCGTTTTCAGGCTGCTTCGTTTTCAGGCATGTGCAACCAGGCCCTGCTCAAGTGATTTCTAATTGGGAAAAGTAGAGGTTACAGGGCTTGAGAAGATAATTTGTTTATTTCTGTGAGAGCAAACCTGATCTACTGTTTCCCCCTTTTTTTCAGAAATGGGATTTCTACTGTCAGTGAACTCAGCCTACTGTTGTCCCTCCCAGCTTTGGCGTTATTCAAATACAGCAGCCAACTGCAAACTGTTTGTCTCTTTCATTCTTGAGGTTGGGTACACCTTTGCAGAGGAAATAGTTCTCGGGTTCCGGAATGTAACCAATCAGTGCCCTGGATGTGGCAACGTCAGTGGTTGCTAGGCAGAGTTTCACTGGTGTAAACCCTTTGCTCCCAGCAGGTCTGGGGCCCCGAGCAAGGGAATAAACTAAACAGAACAATGCATGCTTTTCTCCCTTGAGAAGGACTTAACTATTGGTAATGAGCCAGTTGGATCCTTCGTGACGAGGGCACAGATCGCACAACAGACCTTTTCCTTTTTTTTTTTTTTTTTTTTTTTTTTTTTTTTTTTTGAGACAAGGTTTCACTGTGTAGCTGTGGCTGGCCTGGAACTCACGCTGTAGACCAGGCTGGCCTCGAACTCGTAGATATGCACCTGCCTCCCGCCTCCCGAGTGCAAGGGTTGAAGGCGCGCATCACCATGCCAGACCGGCAGAGGTTTCCGTGCCGATGGGGAGCAACGTGTGCGTGTCGTCTCAGCTTTCCCCCTTCCTGCCTGTGGAGCTAGAAAGCGCACCCAGCGGCTTGAGACCCCTGTACCAACTCTGTCCACCCTGCCCTTGCCACTTTTGGCATTCGTGTCCCCACCCCCAGGTTCACGTCTAACCAATCCGGAGTCTCGTCTCTGCGCCCGGAATCCTGACCAAATCCGTTCCTCCGCGGGGCGCAGCATCTCTGCCTCCGCCCCCTCCCGCTGGCTCCGCCAATCGCCCGTCCGGGTTACGCCCCTTTCGACTCGGCCCCTTTCGTGCCACCAATCCGCGTGGCGCGTCCCGCCCACTGCCTGCCGAATCCGCCAATCCCGGCGTTGGGCAAGCGTGGCCTGGTATCCGCAGCTCCGGAGGCTCGCGCGGGAGTGGGGGGCGGGGGCGAAGGCGGAAGTGGCGGCGCCGGGTCCGGGAGTGGAAAGGAGCTGAGGCTGCAGCCCGAGTGGAGCGGCTGCCAGCCGAGGAGCAGGCGCGGCCGCGGCGCCATATTACGGCCCTCAGCGGTCGCCGCCGAGCCATGGCCGAGACCTACGGTGAGGCTGGTGGTTCGAGGCGGGGGGGGGCTGGGCCCGTGGAGGATGCGGATGTGGAAGTGGGGCGGGGCTTTCTGGCCAGTGGGCGGGGTCTTCGCGTTGCGGGGCAGGACTAAGTGGGTCTGGGGCTGAGCTTAATCAATTTGGGTGGAGCTTGGGAGACCGCTACCTGAGTTAGAAAAGATTTAGGGCGGGATTTGAGGGCGCCAGTGATGGTAGATTAGGGTAGGGGGTTAGGCCTCAAGGAGGGAAGCAAGCCTTCCTGGGCGGAGCGTGAGTGAACAGGGCGGGGCTGACGGGGAATGGCAAGGGTCGGGCTTCAAGGGGCAGAGAGAGAACCCTGCACATCCTGTGGGGCTCATCTGGCCCTCGAGGGCTGAAGTGGTGTCCTGGAGTTAGATTTGAAGCTTAGCGTCAAAGGATGCGGCTTAAGTTTGAGGATAGTGGCCAACTGTTCTGGGCAGAGGATGGGGAGAAGAGGTTCATGGTTGGAAAGTCAATACGGATGTACAGTGTCACGCGGGTGGAGAGAGGTCAGAGGGCAGGGGAGACCTCTGACAAGAATCAGAGGCAGCTACATTCATTCAACACACATAGAAAACTCAGAGACCCTGAGGAGGAAACCAGGTTAGGAGATAGGCCGAATGTCAGGGGCCTTGACAGAGTGAGGTTGCAGGGGGGTAAGTGAAGAGGAAGGAGGCCAGATTTAGTCGTGGTTGGAATGACTTTTGAACTACATCAGCTAAGGCTTTGCATTGTGGAGGCCTTTATTTAGTCTGGGTCTGCATCTTAGCTCCGCCTAGCTGTGTGGCCTTGGGCAAGTTGGTTAACCTTTCTGGCCTCATTCTCCTACTCTAGAGAGTAGGGTTGCTTAATCTACACCCCTCTTTAGATCTTTATTTGGGATTAAATGAGCTTGACAAACACAATGATCTTTAGGACTGTGTTGGGCACATATATGGTAAGCAGTATTCAAGAATAATCTTGTGTTCTGTAATCCTCACATTTGGGAGACTGGGGCAGGAGGACTGCTTCAAGTTACAGGTCTGCCTAGACTATAGGGTAATATTATTTTTTTGTTTTGTTTTTGTTTTTTCAAGACAGGGCTTCTCTGTATTGTTTTGGAGGCTGTCCTGGAACTTGTTCAGTAGACCAGGCTGGCCTCGAACTCACGGAGATCCGCCTGCCTCTGCCTCCTGAGTGCTGGGATTAAAGGTGTGCGCCACCACCGCCCGGCTCAGGGTAATATTCTTAAAGTAAGAAAGAAAGAAAAGTGGAGTATGCTGTAATCACAGAGTGGGGAGGCTGAGGCTGGGGGATTGGAATTCAAGGCCAAAGAGTGCTACACAATGAGTGCCTGACTAGAAGAAAAAGAAAAGAAATACAGGCTATGGCAGCATATAACTGTAATCCCAGCATTCCTTTTGAGGCTGAGACAGGAGGATTGCTTGGAGTGTGAGGACAGCTAGGTCAGTGTGGAATACATAGTGAAACTTTGTTTCAGTAATGATGATGAGTAAAAGTGTCATCTTGGGCTGGGTTAAGGGTCAATATGGAAAAACACTTGCCTGGCACACAGAATGCCCTATGTCTTATCTGCAGCACTGTAGATGTTTTTAAAAAGCAGAGTTTTACTGTTCGTTATGTATGACTGTTTCTGCTTTTGTGTATATCTTCCCTTCTGACTTCCTATTTTTTTCCTCTTATTCCCCGCGTCTTTCTCTCCCTGTGGGTATCCTCGATCTTGGCGCCACCTGCTCAGACTTCCTCTTCAAATTCCTGGTGATTGGCAGTGCTGGAACTGGCAAATCATGTCTCCTCCATCAGTTCATTGAGAATAAGTGTGAGTCTCCGGCGGGACCCTGGAGGTCCGCGTGGGTCAGTGGGCAGCAGGTGGGGGGAGCAGGTATCACTGGTGCAAAGCTGGGGCTGTGGGTTTGCCTCTGACCTTGGTGGATGCTCTCTGCCAGCCCCCAGTGAGGTTTGGGTTGCAGAGACGGGGAGGAGGCCAGCGGGATGGGGGGGATTCCAGGGGCCCCTGCACTGCCTCCTCCCTCCCTCCCACCCCCAGTCAAACAGGACTCCAACCACACCATCGGCGTGGAGTTTGGATCCAGGGTGGTCAGCGTTGGGGGGGAAGACTGTGAAGCTACAGATTTGGGACACTGCTGGCCAGGAGCGGTTTCGGTAGGTGGCCTGGGCTCCCTGGGAAGGGAGAGGGGAGGGCAAGGTGTGAGGAGTCCCTCGGGATTGAAATACGGACACCGGGGCGCTGAAAGGGCAGGGCAGGCAGATGGGGAGAGACAGGACCCCTTGTCACAGGGGGCAGGGATCCCGTGAGAGAGGAAGTCCTGCAGAGAGAAGGCTGAGTGTGGTGGTTCAGGGCTGCAATCCCAACACTGCAGGCTGAGGCAGGAGGAGCAGGAGCTGGAGGCCAGTCTGGGCTGAGGTGAAAGTGGAAGAAGGAAGGGTGGGAATCGCAGTTTAGAGGGAGAGCATGAGCCCAAGTAGTATAATAAGGTCCTGGGTTTGATTCCCAATTAGGAAGAGTTGGAGGGGGAGCACAGGGAAGCATGGGATGTGGTAGTGCTCAGAGCTGGCCCCATGCCTAGAATCCTCCAGTGAGGGGCTGGGGGCGTGGCTCAGAGGTAGAGCCCCTGCCTAGAATCCCCCAGTGAGAGGCTGATGTGTAGCTCAATGGTAGAGCCCCTGCCTAGAATCCCCCAATGAGGGGCTGGGGTGTAGCTCAGTGGTAGAGCCCCTGCCTAGAATCCCCCAGTGAGGGGCTGATGTGTAGCTCATTGGTAGAGCCCCTACCTAGAGTTCCCCAGAACTCTTGCTTACCTTACACAGGACCTTTGGTGCCATCCTCAGGACCAGAAAGAAGAAAAAAAGAAATAAGACTTAAGGGTTTAGATAAGCAATACAGTTTTATTTTTTTAATTAGTTAATTAAGTAAATGTTTATGTATGTATGCATGCCTAAGCATATGTATGTATACTACATATATGTAGGAGCCCCCAGAGATCAGAAGGCCATATCAGATACCTTAGGGCTGGGACTATAGGTAGTTGTCAGCTGCCATTTGGGTGCTGGGTATGTAACCCATGTCCTCTGCAAGAGCAGTAAGCCTTGTTAACCAACTGCTGAGCCATCTCTTCAGCCCCAAGGAGTAGTGCAGTGTTTGAAGAGGAATTTTTTTTTTTTGGTTTTTTGAGACAGGGTTCCTCTGTGTAACAGCCCTGGCTGTCCTGGAACTCACTTTGTAGCCCAGACTGGCCTCGAACTCACAGAGATCTGCCTGCCTCTGTCTCCCGAGTGCTGGGGTTAAAGGCGTGCGCCACCATGGCCTGGCTTGAAGAGGGATCTTAAAACAGGCAGACACTGAAACCTCACAGCCTTAGAGGGAAGAAGAGACATAGACAGGGCAGATGAAGATGAAGATGAAGGAGTAATCAAGGTGAGACTGGGCACTGAAGGACTAGGTCAGAGGCAGAGAGGTTCTGGAATGGTCGGACAGCTGTAGCTGAGAAGGAGAGGTGGGAAATGTATGGGGCACCTAGTAAGTCTGCAGAAACAGAAACCTAAGAGCGGGAGGAGAGAGAGAGAGAGAGAGAGAGAGAGAGAGAGAGAGAGAGAGAGAGAGAGAGAGAGAGAGAGAGAGAGAGAGAGAGAGAGAATATTCAGCCCATGGAGAATCTACCCTCAGCACATAGCAGCTGCTAGTTAACGCATGTGCAGATTGACTATGTGAGGTGCTTAGAGCCCAGAGTCAGAGAGAGGGTGGAAGAGACAGGAGTGTGGCATGGCCTGGGTTTGCAGTTAGTACATGCATTCCAGAGGGATCCAGCTTGGTGACAAAGGGAGTTGGCCACACAGGAAAGGGTTCCTGCGTCAGACAGCAGAGAGGGACAAGTAGAAGCTGTATAGCACTTGGCCAGGACAGACAGATGGGAGACTGAGAAAATGCTGACTGACTAACCCAAGGAATGAGCGAGGGAAGGCAAAAGTGAGCATGGGGGAGACACAACAAGAAAGAAAATTAGGGAAATTAGGAAAAATTATGCTGGGTGTGGTGGTCCATGCCTATAATTTCAGTTCCTTGAAAGGCTTAGGCAGGAGGACTTCAAGTTCATGACGTGATCTTGTATGATGTCTCTGGGGTAAGAGCGCTTGGTGCCCACCCAAGGACCTGAGCTCGAGCTCAGGAGAGAACCAGTCCCTGCAAGAGTCCCCTGACCTCCGCATATGCACTGTGGTACAGGGTACACACACCCACAGAAAAGAAGTAGCTAAATAAGAACGTTCCAGGCTTGCCTGGGATACAGTGAATTTGGAGTCAGCCTAGGTAAGTTAGCATATCATCGAATTGAACTGAACTAAAGGGCTGGGGTGTCACTTTGTGTAGACCGCTATCTAGCATGTGCCAGGCCCCTGGGTGTGGTGGCTGAGGCAGGGGAGTTGCCTTAATATTGAAGCCAGGTGGGCTGCTTAGTCAGGTTCAGGCCAGCTTGGACTAGAGAGTGAGACTGTCTCAAAAACAAACCCAGATCGTAGCAATAATTGAGACAGCCTGGGAGGCAGAGAAACTGTATCTCAAGATGAAGGTCAGGTCTTAGGGGATGGGCCAACAGTAAAGGGGGGCCTCCGAACCACTAGCCTCTCTCCACAGAGGGGGGCAATCCCGGGGCAGATCCCAGCCTTGAGGTGACTGGGTACCCCTGGCCCTGCAGGTCGGTGACGCGGAGTTATTACCGAGGGGCGGCTGGAGCCCTGCTGGTGTACGACATCACCAGGTGGGTGCAGGGTGTGGGGGGCGCGGGAGAGGCTGGGCATGGACGGCCCACTCCTGTGCTGCCTGTCCCTTCTGTCTGCTCTCCACAGCCGAGAGACATACAACTCGTTAGCTGCGTGGCTGACCGATGCCCGAACGCTGGCCAGCCCCAACATCGTGGTCATCCTCTGTGGCAACAAGAAGGACCTGGACCCCGAGCGGGAGGTTACTTTCCTAGAGGCCTCCCGCTTTGCGCAGGAGAATGGTGAGGGCCATGCTGTGGGCCGGGCGCTGGGTGGAGGGATGGGCCAGCAGCCCATTGTGACCCGTGTGCCTCTTAGCTGTGGGTGCGTGGTGGGACCTTAAGCATGGAGGCTCCAGCAGGTCTCCTCTAACTCGGAGCACTGAGTAGTCCTCAGGTTGGCTAGAAAAGAGGATTGAACAGGTGGGAACTGCCCACCGCCCCCTTGGCTCCTCCTGGTGCAGAGTAGCTGCTGGTCAGTGTCCTACACGATGGGATGGCTTATGGGGGCCGCTGCAAACCCAGGGGCGGTCGAGATAGGGACCTCTGTAAGTAAAGGCTAGCTTCAGCCTCACTATGCTGGTCAGGCTGATCCACTCTCTTGACCTTCTGTGTGGCTTCTGCCTCCACGGGGACTGGAGGATGCGCAGGCGTGGCCAGGTCATGGCCGCCTGCTATTCAGGCCCCAGAATAGAAGAGGTGTTGCTGCCAGGCAGATGTGGGGGTGAGGCCGTGTCATGTGACCTCTGGGTAGGTGCGGTGGGCTTGGGGCTGTGCTGAGTGAGTGGGGCCACTGATAAACTCAAGCTTGTAGTGCCGTGGCAGAGGCAGGGAGGCAGACCATTTGCTGACAGTGACATCGGAGAGATGTCACTGCTAGGACAGGGGAGGCACAGGGGACCCGGGCTGCGTCATCAGGGTTTTCTGGGGAAGGGCCCTGGGAGCTGAGATTTTAAGGATGAGGTAGGTGTGTAGGTAGGGAGACAGCATTCCTCGCAGGGGCGCATGTGGCCAGTGTCTGAGGTAAGGGCCAGCACGGGTAGAGCTTTCGAGGAACCCAGAGTTGGAGTGGAGGATGGGACCTGACAGAGGCCCTGCCCCTCCAGAGCTGATGTTCCTGGAGACCAGCGCTCTCACGGGTGAGAACGTGGAAGAGGCCTTCCTGAAGTGCGCGCGCACCATCCTCAATAAGATCGACTCAGGTGAGGTCCATGTGCTCAGAGTGAGAGATTGGGGGGCTGGGGGCTGGTTAAAGACCGTCTCCATGGCCTCTGAGGGACACTTCTGCCTTCTCCCCAACCACAGGTGAACTAGACCCGGAGAGGATGGGCTCAGGGATTCAGTATGGTGATGTGTCCCTCCGCCAGCTGCGGCAGCCGCGCAGCGCCCAGGCCGTGGCCCCTCAGCCCTGTGGCTGCTGAGCCCTGCGGATCCAGGTGGGATGCTGAGGGCGCAGGAGGCAAGAGGGCTTTTTGGATCGGGTGGGACAGGGCGCAGAACAGCCATCAAGACTTGGAAAACGGGACAAGAGAAAACGGTGACAAAGACAGACATAGAAGCTCACGAACCAAAGGAGCCGCTTTCCCAGCCCCAGGGAACCCGGGGGCCTCTGCACCCCAGACCTCTGCCAACCTCAGCTTAGACTTGGCCCTGTGCTCAGTCCTGGTGAAGCCTCTGGGGAGACAGCAATGGATAAAACAGACCCAAACCAAACAAACAAAAATCCTTGTTTGTATGGTACCTACATTCATTGCCTTGGGAGAAGACACCCCATAGATGAGATCCTGTCATAAATTTTGTAGTCGTTAGGGGCAAAGAGCGTGGAGGAAAGCAGTCTGATAGGATGGATAGGATGCGGAGTGCCCTTTTAAACAGGACACCCAAGAAGGCGACATTCAGGTGAAAGTCCAGGCCGAGGCTCACTCGTGGTGTGGCCTGGCTGAGGAAGGCCCAGGAGGCTGCCTGCCGTGGCTGCAGTGGGGTCTGTCACAGCATGGGCTTGGGGGACTGGCTAGGACGTCTCTGAGGCTCTGGGGAGGTCTCATCTGTACCCTGGACGCTGCAGTAGGTAGAGGGGACGCCTGAGTGGTGGAGGGAGAGGATTAGACTCCCTGCATCCCAGGGTTCCTCCAGCCAGATGGAAGGAGGAGACTGGGGAGCAGGGCTGATTGCTGGGTGCCGGGGAGTGGGGGGGTGGAGGGTGGGGTGGGGGGTGCTGGGGACTGGTGTGAGGAGGGGTGGAGTTCAGGTGATAGAGGGCTTGCCTAATGTGCATGCTGGGAGCACCGGCTTCCATACTGTGTTACCTGGTGGTGGTCATGGGAGTGAGTAGGAGGCCAGCCTGAGATACATCCCTTGTTGGGGATAGGGAGAGACAGACAAACAGCCTGGGGGAAGTAGAGGGAGCCCTGACTTCTCTCTCTCCAGTCTTGTCCCCTTTTATGGCACCCAGTGGCTCTGTTTAAAGCTCAGGCCCGTCCGTGTCCCTTCTTGAGAACCACCCATGCCTCCTGGGGTCCATAGGACTCTGCTGAAGGTGCTGAGCCTGGTTGACCCTCTGCAGGGCCTGGGCCCTGACACCCTGCCCCAGCAGCTCTTACGTATGCTCCTTCTCCTGTGACTGCCCCAGTCACAGAAAGTTCTTTGTTTCTTTGGGTCCTTTTTCCCAGCCTGTTTTCTTTCCCTTTGCCCTGGTAACCTCCTCCTCCCAGAAGCCTTGTTGGTTTTTCCATTAATGGTCCAAACTCCTTGACAGACCTGCAGGACCCTGCAGGGCTTGGTCCCTTCCTTACCTCTGTGACTACGGTGTTCTTGCTAATTCTCCCTCTGTACTTCAGGAAGTTCAGCCCTCTCCTCTCCCTCCCAGCTGCTAGCAGGCCTAGGGTGACTGTGGGGGAAAATCCTTAGGCTTGGATCTGTTTTAAAGGGAGAGCCAGCATGGTTTTCTTTTCTTTTTAAAATTTATTTATTTATTATGTATATAGCGTTTTCTGCATCTATTTCTGCACACCAGAAGAGGGCACCAGATCTCATTATAGATGGTTGTGAGCCACCGTGTGGTTGCTGGGAATTGAACTCAGGACCTCTGGAAGAGCAGCCAGCCCCATGGTTTTCTTTTCTTTTTTAATTTCATGTGCATTCGCGTTTTGCCTGCATGTACATTTGTGTGAGGGTGTCAGATCCCTGGAACTGGAGTTGCAGACAGTTGTGAGCTGCCATGTGGGTGCTGGGAATTGAACCTGGGTCCTCTCAAAGAGCAGCCAGTGCTCTTAACCACTGAGTTGTCTCTCCAGCCCCGACCAGCATGGGATTTGAAAGACAGAAAAGTCCAGGGTGAGCACTTTAGACAGTATTCTTGGTCTCTGCACTTGCTGGTTTGAGCCTGTTTCCTAACCCTGTAGAGTGGGGTCAGTCATAGTCCCTCGTGGGCGTGGAGGAGAGAGGCATGTAGAGTGTCTAGAGCAGAACCTAACATTTGCCAAAAGCTTGACCACAGGGCCGCTCACTGCTTTTCTTCTTGCCCATCTTTTTTTTTGTTTGTTTTTGTTTTTGTTTTCCGAGACAGGGTTTCTCTGTGTAGCTTTGGAGGCTGTCCTGGAACTCGCTCTGTAGACCAGGCTGGCCTTGAACTCACAGAGATCCGCCTGGCTCTGCCTCTCGAGTGCTGGGATTAAAGGCCTGCGCCACCACTGCCCGGCTCCTCTTGCTCATTGTAAAGCCTCGGGGAGGGTGTGTCTGTTGGCTGTGTAGCTCAGTAGTAGGGCGCTTGCCTCACATGCAGGTGGCCTTCTTGGGTGTGGTCTCCAGCACCGCACACACACACAAATAACAAAACAAAGCAAAAGGAACGTTTGACTGTGTGGAGATAAATGGGTATCCCAGAAATCAGCAGAGTCTTTTCCACAGTTTACCCTCAGTGGGCCACATGTAATCAGTGCGTGGAGTCCCCGTTGACCATTATATCACATACTTATCTAACGTAGTCATACCTGCAGAGAAACTAAAAAAAATTTCTTTCACTTTTTTTAACCCCACTTTGATTTTTTTTGGGGGGGTCTTGCTATGTAGCTCAGGCTAACATGGAACTTGTATATACACTAGAATAGCCTCAAACTTACATCAATCCTCTTGCCTTAGCCTTTTAAGGGCTGAGATTGTAAATTTGTGCCACCATGCCTGGTTACCAATAAATACTTCATTACTTTTGAGACAGGGTCTCTCTACATAGCCCTGACTGTCCTGGAACTCACCTTGTAGACCAGGCTAGCCTCAAACTCACAGAGATACATCCACCTGCTTCTACCTTTCCAGTGTTGGGACTGGAGTGTGACCATGTCTGGCCTAATATTTTCTTTTATTGTAAAAGTTTTATAAGAAAAGTATATCACCCCCATACACCCTTTCCCTTTTTTATTTCTTTTTTTGTTTTTACTCTGAGACATATAGCTCAGGCTGGCCTCAGACTTAACTGTGTAGTAGTAGTCAAGGGCGATCTAGATCTTTGATCCTCTAGCTTTTACCTCCCAAGTGCTGGAATTACAGTACCTCACTGCACTTACGCGGTGCTGAGGATGGAACACGGGGCCACAGGCAGGCTAGGCAAGCAATACCAGCTGAGCTGTAGTTTGCTATTTTGCTCTCCTCCTCTTCCTCTTCCTCCTCCTCCTCCTCTTCTTGAGGCCTCTAATTTACTTCCTGAGTGCTGGGATTATAGGTGTGAACCACCACACCCTCTGATTTTACTTCATTTAGACAAAAATTTAGTCTGGGCCAGCCAACATTGCCCTGTCTGGAAATAGCACCCATTAGAATAAGGCCGGAAGAAGGCATAAAACATACTGAAGCCAGGATCTACGTCAGATAATTTCTAGACATGTCTAGGTCGTGCTGTAAGTCAAAGCCATGACCACTAATCTATTCTATCTCTGCAGTTTGAAAAGCATTGGAATGAGGCTTAGCTTGGACCAGTAGGGATAAAAAGGGACACAAACATTTACAAAGGTGGGGACATGTACTTAGTTTATGATTTGTGTTGGGGTTTTTCTGTTTTTGTTGTTTCTGTTTTTTTGGTTTGTTTTGTTTTCGTTTTTTGAAACAGGGCTTCTCTGTGTAGCCCTGGCTGTCCTGGAACTCCCTCTGCTGACCAGGCTGGCCTTGAACTCACAGAGATCTGCCTGCCTCTGCCTCCTGAGTGCTAGAAGGTGTGCCACCACTACCTGTCATGTTTTGTTTTTGAGACAGGACCTCACTATGTGCCTCAGGCTGGCCTCAAACTCACCACCCTCCTGTGTGAACCTCTCAGTACTGGGATTCTGTGTGTGAACCACCACCTGGCAAGGGTCGTGGTAGTTAGCTATTGAAATGTCCCTTTACAGATGCACACAGCTATCTGTGGCAAACAGACAGGGAGATGTTCAGAGAATGAGACCCCGAGTAACCTGCAGAGGGCCAACAGAGTCAGACAGTGCATAGACTGGGAGAAACAAGGGTACAGGCAGACACAGGTCGTGAAGATACCTAGCAAAGAGACAAGAGACTCCAGCTAACAGACCCAGGGCCCCTCCAGGTCATAATACCCTTCTCTTTCAGCTCATCCGTTCTCCTGGACCAGCCCTGCCCGAAGGCTGGGGCCCAGAACCAGGCCCCAAGAGGCTAGGCCCCAATCTGTCCCAGCCCCCAGAAAAGCTGCCCCATTCCCCACCCCTCTTCCCTGGCCTGGTGGGGCCTGGCTTTGGGGCACGATTGAGCCACAGGGGAAGGGGGAACCATACCTGCTGCTGTCTCCTCTGACTTGGCTAACTCTTCCTCCTGAGCCCCTAACCATACCTGAAGAACTCCCAGAGCTTGAGACCAGGGCCTTGTGGCCCCACCTTCCTGCCTGGCCCTGCTGTTGCAAAGTCTGTGTTATTTATTACCTGGAGGCCTGCTCCATCCTGTCCCGGCCCTCCATAAAGCATCGTTTACACCTGTGTTTTGGCCTCTGTTATTCTGAGATGAGGAGATAGAAGAGGTCCATGGTGGAAGTAATAAGAGCGGGTCTTTGCGTGAGAAACCATGTTTCTGGTGGGACTTGGTTTGTGGATATATTGGGGTATACACATACTCACTGAGGCCTATCTTTTCTTTGGTTTCTTCCTACACCCCCCCCCTTTTCTTTTTAACACAGGGCCTTGTTGTAGCCCAGACTAACCTGGAATTTGAAGTCTCCCTGCCTTAACCTCCCACATGTTGGGGTTACAAGTGTGTCCATGCCCAGCTTGTGTAAATACTTCCTGACAGTCACATTCGATTGGAGCTGGTGTGTGCAGCAGTGACCTCCCTATGTGTCTTTCGTGTATGGATCAGTGCCATCAGGGACATGTGATGCTGTGGCACATGGGTGGTCATTGTCCTGGTGACTGTGTTGGTGAGGCTGCTGCTGTGTGCAACAAGACCAAGGGATTGGAGACTGTAAGGGGGGCTTGATCCTGGGCCTGGTTCAACTGCTACATATCTCCTGTCTGCAGGGACAGTGGCTTACTGTGTGTTCCTGAGAACATGCGATCCTGAGATTTGTGTGTGCTCTGGTGTGGGTTTGTTTCCGAGCGCGTGCGTGTGCGTGCGTGCGTGCGTGTGTGTGTGTGTGTGTGTGTGTGTGTGTGTGTGTGTGTGTAAATCTCTGTGTCACTGTGGTTTTTTTTTTTTGTGCAACCCGGACTTCTGCTGGTGCTTGGTGATGTGTATCTCCTTGTATCCTGGTCTTTATTATATGGGCTTTTGGGGACAGGTGCAGCCCCTCCCCTCAGGACAGCTTCAGCTGCTCTCCCAAAATGTCAGCAGCCCATTGACTGCCCACCCGGCAGGCCCAGAAGTTGGTGGAAGGGGTGGAGCATCCGAGTAACCCTATCCACGTAGCCCTCCCAAGAACAGTGGCATCAATGCTATGTGTAGCTAGTGGTAGAGCCTTGCGTTGCCCGTGCGAAGCTCTGGATTCCGTTCCCAGAACTGCATAAACAAAAAATCTGCCTGGACTTCAGAGGAGCCCGGTTTTTCAAACGTCTCCTCTAAGAGGAGGCTGTCCCAGGTTGCTTGGATCCAACTCCTACGTCGCCCTGAGGGAGCCGCGCGGAGAGGGTCATGCAAATAGTACATATTTGTTCTACCCGACTTCGCTTTCTGAGGACATTCCGTACTCACCGTTACTTTTTTTTTTAAAGTGCTTATGTAAATTACTGACGTAGGAATTTACATACACTTCCCAACTAACTGCACAGTCATTTCTCAATATCCTCTTGGGCTGTGTGGAGGAGCCGCCTATGTAAATGAAACATTTGCATAGCAAATGTCCGCAGCGCCGCCACTAGCCATCCGGGGGCACTTTCTGCTCTTCGGGGTGGGCCTTTCTATGTGAAACGCCCCATTTGCGCTTCCCCCCCCCCCCCACCTCCACGGGGCCGTCTTAAAAATTCACAGAACTCCTTTTCCTGAGTCTGCGGTCCTGCGTTTGGCGTGGAAGGGGCGGGGCGCAAAATGCAAATGAGCCTCGCGTCCCGTCCCAGCTCTCAGGGTAGATCCTAGGGCGCCGGGCAGCGTCCAGCTCGCGCATGCGCAGTCTCCCCCCGGCCGGGCTGCGGTCACGTGCCCACCGGGCGAGGCGGGGGCGGGGCGTCGCGGGCGGTGGGGGGCGGGGTATGGCGCGCTGCGAGGCGCAGGGCGGCTGGCACAAACGGCGGCGCCGAGGCCGGAGGAAAAAGCTCGGTGAGGAGGGTCGTGCGAAGGGAAGGAAGGAGCCGGGAAGGAGAAGGAGCCCGAGGTCGGGCGGTCGGGCGCGGGCGGCCGGGCCCCGGGCGGGAAGCAGGAGGCGGGGCGCGGGCGGCGGCCGCCGCGACCCTGCGCTGGGCGGGTGGGGGTGGGGAGGGCAGCGCGCGCCCGGCGCGGCGGGGCGGACCCTGGAGGGCGGCGGGAGCGCGCGGCCGCCACCGAGGGGAGGGGCCGGCCCGGGGCGGCCCCGCCTCAGTCGCCCCGCGGCCACCGGCGGCCCCTGGGCGGCCGCGGAGGGGGTGGGGAGGGAGGCCGGGCGGCCGTCGGCTCTGACCGTCGCCCCGGCCTCCGTCCCGTCAGGCAGCACCTCCCTTCCGTCTGGGTGTGTGTCGGCCCCCGTAGGCTTCCTCCCGGGGGGCGCAGGTCGACCCCACCGGCCCTCCCGCTCCCCTGCCGGCTTGTCTTCCTCCCTGTTGTCTTTGTCCCTGGACTCCCGGTTTCCCCCCGCCTGCCCCTGGCTCCCGGCCTCCCACCCAGGCGACCCGGTCCCCGCAGACGCGGCCGTGCCCGCCGGCTCCCTCCCCACAGCCCCGACTCTTCCCCTAGAGTGCTCGCTCCCGGCTTCTGTGTCGTTCTCTATGGAAGCCTCAGGCAGGCACCCATTTCCCACCTCCCACTGTCGCTTTCCTTCCCCGGATCTCTTCGATTGTCTGCAGTCTTGGCTTCCTCGTTGCCTTCCTCGCAGCGTTTCCCCTCTGCACTTTGTCTGTGTTCCCCTGCCGGCCGCCCGTTCCCTCTCCAAGTCCCGAGTCGCGCGCCCCGGCTTGCCTCAGTGTGTGTGTCAAGGGTTTGCCGCGGCTGTGTCATCTTCTCCCTGCCGGGGCCATCCCCGCCCCTTCCCACCTGCTCGCCTCCAACTCCGCTCAAGTCCTTTTCCCCCTCTCTTCCAGCCACCCCCACCAGTCCCTTCTCAAGCTCCTAGGGACAGCCGTGGACTTGGGGACCAGCGAGCACCCCCGGGGCACTGCTACAGGAGCCCCTGCTGCCTGCCCTGCCTCACCCTGCCCCACACCAGGCCCAGCGGCCCCCGGCTGCACCCAGTGGAGGAGGAGAAGGCGGAGGAGGGTGGCACCATGGGCCCGGGCCGTGCCCTCCATGCCCGGGGGACGAAGACGCTGCTGCTACCATGGACAGCCCATGCCAGCCGCAGGCCCTGAATCCGTCCCTCCCTCAGCTGCCAGGGTCTGTGTCAGAGTCCTTGGAGGCCAGCCGAGCCAGAATGGGGGTGGAGAGCTACCTGCCCTGCCCTCTGCTGCCCTCCTGCCACCATCCAGGAGCGTCGGGCGAGGCCTCGGCCGGCAGCGGGACTCCCAGAACCACAGCCACTGCTACGGCTACGGCTGCCAGCCCCCTTCGCGAGGGCTTTGGTGGGCAGGACGGCGGCGAGCTGTGGCCGCTGCAGAGCGAAGGGGCTGCGGCGCTGGTCACCAGGGAGTGCCAGCGACTGGCGGCCCAGGGTGCCCGGCCTGAGGCCCCCAAACGGAAGTGGGCCAAGGATGGTGGGGATGCCCCTTTACCCAGCAAGCGACCGTGGGCCAGGCAAGAGAACCAGGAGGCCAAGGGGGAAAGTGGCGTGGGCTGTGACGGCGGCGGCGGCGGTGGCAGCAGCAGCAACGCTACCAGTAGCAGTGGCGAGGCACGGGCTGGACTGCAGGAGGAAGCCCAGCCCTCCGCCCCCGAGCGCCTGGCCCTGGACTATATCGTGCCTTGCATGCGGTACTATGGTATCTGCGTCAAGGACAACTTCTTGGGGGCAACACTGGGTGGCCGCGTGCTGGCTGAGGTGGAGGCCCTGAAGTGGGGCGGGCGTCTGCGGGACGGGCAGCTGGTGAGCCAGCGGGCGATCCCACCGCGCAGCATTCGTGGGGACCAGATTGCCTGGGTAGAAGGCCACGAGCCAGGCTGCAGGAGCATCGGGATCCTCATGGCTCACGTGGACACAGTGATCCGCCACTGTGCCGGGCGGCTGGGCAGCTACGTCATCAATGGGCGCACCAAGGTGAGGCACTTTTTTGGTGAGTGCCTAGTGCTTTGGCGTGTGGGTTTGGATGCAAGGTTCTGGGGCTATGTAGAGTAGCCCAGGCAGCCCCACCAGAGGGTCTACAGTTACCTGTGGGGACCGGAGTTTCTTCCTCCCACCGGACTTTGATTTTTGTTCCTGAAGAGTAGTTCAGATGGCATTGGTCCTTGCCCTTGGGAGACGCAGAGCTGCTGACCAAGGGTGGTTAAGGTTGGCAGAAGTGTGTTCTTGTCTGCTGGCAGACCCAGAGGGAGGGGTGGCGGGGCTGAGGTAGCCTAGGCTGACCGTGAGAGCACCTGGCCGGCCCCTGTTCTGCCCTGTGAGCCTGCTCTTGGCATCAAGAGCAGCTTCCCGGAGGTGACGCTGGTGACAGTGCTGGCCCAGGTAGAGCGCTGTCCACATCCTTCCCGCTCCTCCCTGCCCTGGTCCCTGTTCTCCATCCTCTGACTGGTGGTCACTTCCTACCTGCTTTGCTCTGGTCCCTTTCCCTGACCCTCTGCCTTCATTAGGTTTTTCTTCTCCACTCCGTTTTCTTCTTGCACAGTGGTAGTTGTTGACACTTTTGGAGCCAAGGCTTTTGAGGTAATCTGCCAGGAGCCATAGACCTCTTCGGGAAAGGCGCGCGGTTTGCCTGGTGTTTGTGGGTGGTTGTCAGGGAGCCGGGACTAGAGTGTGACCTCCATGGCCTTTCGGGTCTGTTGACATACCGCCCTCTTGCTGGTGGGGCGCGCGAGTGAGGCTTGGTGTCATTTGTCTGCAGTCTGTTGAGAGTACCTGCTGCTGGCCAGCAGTGGTTCCTGGCTGGTGAGGCTGTAGGCTGCGCTCTGCCTGTGAGCGGGAGGCTGTGCTCCTCCTGATGGCCCCTCCCCTTCTCTCGCTTCTCTCTCGAGTTCTGCCTTGGTACAGCTTTCTTTCCTGGCTGGAACTGGCTTGGGGATCAGGGTCCCCAGCCCCAGGGGGAGTCAGGCATGTTTCCTCCCCACCCCAGCTGGAACTTGTCCTACGTCCCTCCTGTTACTTGATAGCTGAAGCGCCAGAGCCGGCCCTTCCCTGGGTTGGCTCCTGTGCAGGCAAGATCGGTGTTGCTTCCCTGGCTCAGCATCGGCAACTGGTGCCCAGTGTCCCCACGGGAGACCAGGAGAGCTGAGTGCCCAGAGCGTGGGAAAGCTGCCTCAGGTGCCTGGCTGCGAGCACGCTGGGAGAGGGGTGGAAGGCATAGGTTGTTTCCCCTGTGGTGTCCCCTCCCATCTGGATGTGGTCGGTGACGGAACTGAGCTAGGACTGGGAAGCTCTAAGCGGCCTTATCCACCAGGAGGTCAGCACAGGTCAGGCTGGTGGAGAGAGCAACTGGACACAGCACCTCGTGCTCTCCCACGTACAGAGGGCAAGGGCCACCTGTAGCTTCCCGTCTTGTGCTCTAGAGCGGAAGTGTGGGGTGTTGAGGTGTTTTATGGCAGTGGCGGTGAGGACACCAACTACCAGTGTGGCCCTGAGCAGCAGTGACCTAGGTCATTCCTGAGTGACGCTCCTCTGCCTTCCTACCTGCCCTTCTAGCCTGCTCTTCTCTGTGGATTCGGAGCTGGAGGAGTTGAGTCTCTGACATCAAGAATGAGAGGAGGCGCCTGGGGAGGGTCCGTCTGGTTTGGCTTGCCCCTTTAAGAGCGGCTTGGAGGCAGGGCCTGCTGTCTGGTCCAGTCACTGGCTTCTGATATGGTGTGTGTGGTGGTACGGTCCTTGGCACATTTTTACCAACAGCAGTGACTCCAGAATCCTGCAGTGATGACCTCTCCCTGCTTTTGAAGGGGGATGGGTGGAGAGTAAGTTTCTTTGTCACTCTACTGCTGTCCCTGTGGTTGAAGCTTTTCCTCAAGGGGGTGAGGTTCAGAGCAGCACGTTGACATAGCAGGTAGTACCCTGGGTACTCTGGCTTGACCCAGGGCTTCTTGGACAGCCGGCTATAAGCTTGAGAGGTAAGCCCACCAGAGACCACCACAGGGACACTCTTTGTTTTTTTTTTTTTTGTTTGTTTTTTGTTTTTTCGAGACAGGGTTTCTCTGTATTGTGTTGGAGGCTGTTCTGGAACTCGCTCTGTAGACCAGGCTGGCCTCGAACTCTCAGAGATCCACCTGCCTCTGCCTCCCGAGTGCTGGGATTAAAGGCGTGCGCCACCACTGCATGGGGAGTGTGCCCAGGTCATGCAGCCCAAGCCCTATGCTTTGTCTTACGTGTAAAAAGCACATCCTGGTTGTTGCACTCAGCTGGTTGTAATAGTTAGCAATAAGCAGCACCACAGAAGCCGAAACACAGGGTTAGTACAGTTAAGGACTCTCCTAGAACTGTGGACTCTCTTTGTTCCCTCTGTGGCAGTATTGGGGCCTATGTGTTAGGTTTAAGGTAAAAATGGTATCTGTAACATGGCCTCAGTTGTGCTAAGGTCTGGGGACCTGTTAACAGGCTTTGAGGTAGGGGGGAGGTAGGTCTGTTGAAGCCTAGGGCAGAGGAAGGGTCCAGGCCCTGCAGGTTGGTGGTCTTGGTGCAGGTGGTGGGAAATGTACTTTTCTGGATGTGTGGTGCTGTGTGGTGACTGGTTAGAGGCAATACAGCACCGCCTGCCCTCCTCCTCAGCGTCCAGAACCTGCTTGAGGGCTGATTGGCTTCCCAGCTCAGGAGGCCTTACCCATCTCTAATCAGTGACTCACTGATTCCAGGCCACCAGGCCACAGCCACATTCTTTCCTCATGTGAGCGGTTGCTTAGCGTGCCATCCCATCTGCAGGGGCAGAGCGGAGAAGATTCACTGCCCTCCTGCGCTTAGAGGCCAGGGCTTTCCCTGGGGGCCTTCTCACTTACTGTTTCCTGGTGCTGAAGCTCTCTGCTGCTCCGTAGCCTTAGCTGGTGGCAAGCCTTCTGGTCTCTTGGGAAGGTAGGGTCTGTGGTGGATCAGGTGTACGGATGGGAGGCAGAGGCCTCAGGCATCCGCAGTGGGATGAGCCCTGGGATCACAGTTGAGAGAGGAGCCTTGGGAAGGAGGCTGTAAGGCTGAATCAGCCTGACCTTCATGGAGTGCTGGGTAAGCGCTTTGTCTTGGCGGCAGACAGATTTTGTGTGTTTTTCTATGCTTGTCTTGCTGGGCTAGACTGGACCCAACCCGAAAGTAGAGGCGAGCATTGTCAAGGAGCCCAGACTTGCAGAGTGGTACCTGGATGGCCGGGCCAAGTGAGATGGTTGCTGGGTGGGAAAACCAAAGGGTTTTTGCTCTGTGTGAACTCTCCCAATGGGTTTGGGTAGAGGGGTGGCCCAGGGACCTTTTCCTTTAAGTAGCATTTCACCTCGTGCTCCAGTTCTTTATGCTGTGGCAGCAGGCATTGTGTCTTTGCAGATGCTCACAATCTAGTTCACTTCTCCAAACAGCCTGTGGAGCGAAGTGGTGTTACCCGCAGCGGGGAGCTTAGTTTACCTCCCCAGTGCCACAGCTCGCTCACTACAGACGCTTGACCCCGAGGATTGCGTCTGCAGAGGTAGCTGGGCCTTGTCCTAGTAGAGCCCTGGCTGCCCGGATGGGAGATGGGGGAATGTGGAACTCCAGCCAAACCCGTGCCGACAGAAACCAGGCCCAGCAGAGGCCTGCCTCTGAGATGTGGGGACCACCGTGTCTCAGAGTAGTTAATGCTGGGCATGGAAGGTGTGTATCGGCCCCATTTTCAGTAGGGCGGTGAGGCGTGCTCAGGTTCTGGGGTTGCCAGCAGTGTGCAGGATGCTTGGAACTGGAACTCTATCTAGGTCAGGTTCCCGTCCGCGCGCGTGTGTGGGGCAGGTTATGCAGCTGGAGTGTCTGTAGTCAAGTGTAGCAGTTCTCAGCATGATGTCACATTGGAATACCTGAGGGCACCTTTAAATACCCAGGCGCGAGCCTCCGTTTCTCAGACCTCATGGGAGATTCTGTGCGCTTACTGAGTACTTCAAGCTGACCTCAAACGTGTGTTTCTCCTGCCTTGACCTGCTAAGTGCTGGTTCACAGGTGTGCACCGTGCTCCTCTACACCTGGCTAGGCTTAGGATCTCTTCAAAAGCCACAGCCATGGTTTACACATAGAGTCCCTCTGGTTCTGGGCTGGGGATGGAGGTGGAGGAATGCATTGTCCAGGCCAGAGAGGATGGAGTGTGACTGGGTTAGGGACATCTCTTGGGCTGGAGCTCACATAGCCTAAGGTGAACCAGAACAGACCAGGGGCAGGGATGGTGAGCCTGCTTCCTCAAGGGGTCCCTCTGGTCTCAGTAAACCACCTTCCTCCATTTCTGCCAGGCCATGGTGGCGTGTTACCCAGGCAATGGGCTTGGGTACGTGAGGCATGTTGACAATCCCCACGGCGATGGGCGCTGCATCACCTGTATCTATTACCTGAATCAGAACTGGGATGTCAAGGTAGGGTTTGGGGGTTGGGACGGTGTGCTTATATCCCAGCTGGGATTCTGTCCTCCGCCCTCAGCTCACAGGGCGGGGAGATCTCCAGGCTCCTCTTTAGCTGACTGTGGGCCTCCCTACTTTCCAGGAATGGTGCCGTCCTTAGCCCCACCCAGACTTGTTCACCCCCCCCTTCCTGTCTATAGTAGCTTCCTGCCCATCTCCATGGCAATGTAGACTCTGGGCTGTCATTCATTTTAAGCACCTGAGTGGTAGGAGTGGTGTGTGTTGGTGCTGCGCCCCCTGGTGGGCATGTGGGTGCAGTAGATGGCCGCGGCTGCCGGCTTCACCAGTAGCCTTATCTGGCCTGCCTCCAGGTGCATGGCGGCCTGCTGCAGATCTTCCCTGAGGGTCGGCCAGTGGTAGCCAACATCGAGCCACTCTTTGACCGGTTGCTCATTTTCTGGTCTGACCGACGGAACCCACATGAGGTGAAGCCAGCCTATGCCACCAGGTATGACCTGTGCTTCAGGAACGTGCCCAGCTGCTTCCCCGTGCCAAAGATCCCTTAGATTCCCCCGACCGTCAGAGGACAGAGTGAAGAGAGGGCCTCAGTGGGACCCAGAATCAAGTGGCCTAAAAGGGTGGGTGTGTCACCGGCTGTGGCAACTAGAACTGCAGGAAACTGATTCTGACTGCCTGATTTCCTAGGTACGCCATCACTGTCTGGTATTTTGATGCCAAGGAGCGGGCAGCAGCCAGAGACAAGTATCAGCTAGGTACCTGTTTCCCTCTTCCCTTGGCCTTCCTAGTCCCTGTGTGCTGCGGGTCACAGGCCTACCCTTTTTTCTGGTGCTGAGAGTGGTACCCAGGGCCTTTGGCACACTAGGCAAGCACTGCCCGCAGCCCACCCCCACGGCCCTTCCGTGAGTCCTCACCCAGTTGTTGCCTCCCTGGGGCCTCCAGCCCAGACGGGGGTCTCCAGCCCAGACGGGGGTCTCCCACACGCCTCACTGTTCTCCCACCCCCAGTGCTCTTTTGGCTTCTCTGTCCCTTGCTAGTGTGACTCAGTGTCTTCTTCCTTTCATCCTCAGCATCGGGACAGAAAGGTGTTCAGGTTCCTGTATCACAGCCAACTACACCCACCTAATGGCAGCCCAGAGCTGCATGGACCAGCAGCTGCCTGCCTTCAGGGGAGCCCCGGGCCCAGCTGCAGCTCAGCTCGCTCGCCTCAGCGCCTGCCCCTTCCCCGCCACTGCTGCTGCTTCTGGCTTGCCTCGGGACTGCGTGGTGTGGTGTGGAGGTAGACGTGTCACTGAGGACCAGCGAGGAGAGACTCCTGCTGCCCCATGATCGGGCTGGGTTGTGACCTGGGCGGTGGCCGGTGCCCTGCCATGGCTGGTCCATTGCTTGTTGAGCTGAGAGGAGGCAGGATTTGGGGTTGAGGTGAGTCATGGCCTCTTGCTGGCAAAGGTCTATGGGGGGGCATACTCACCCCCTCCCCATCCTCCAGCCTGGAATGTGAAGTGACTCCCCAGCCCCTTTGGCTGTGGCACTTTATGGACTGGGCTGCCACTGCTTGGGCAGAGTAAGGTGCCATGAGGAGCATGGGTGTGGAGGGCCTGCCAGCCAAGAAATAAAAGTTTACCTCAGAGCTGCACACATTTGTGTTCTCCTCTGTACAGAGATTTACACATACTGTAAGGGCAGCCAAGGAGATCAGAGCAGTGGGGCCCAACCCCAGCGGGCCACCAGGCAGAGCCGGAAGGCTGGTGGCCCATTGCCCAGGCACTGTGGAGTAAGGCTGATGTTGGCAGGACTTCCCACAGGGAGCAGGCAGGACTTCTGCAGGGTGACAGTGAGGAAGAGCTCAGAGCCGGCCAGGCCGCACCCAGGCACACCTGCCAGTGCCAGCCACTCGGTCCCTCCCTCCTGACGCAGCCCTGGGCCAAAAGGCATGAAGGCGTCATTGTTCAGGAACTGGCCCTGGGTATTCAGGAAGTTGGTGGGATTGAAATGGCCAGGGTCCTTGAATTGGGGGGGATCCCGGTGTGCAGACAGAAGCAGGGGAGTCACAAGTGTGCCCTGTGGGGGTTCAGCTACCCACGGGCTGAGTGTGAGCACCTTACCAAGACCCTTCCTGTTCTTGAGCTTGGCACCTAACCCTTGGAGGTGCTGGGCAAGTGCTGCCACAGCTGCACCCCAGCCCCTGAGATGATAGAGCCCAGGAAGGGAGCCCCCAAGATGCTGACCATGACTGAAGCCAGTCTCCAAATGGACACTTAAGCTCCCTTCTCCCAGTGCAGTTCCAAGGCTCCCTGTGCACCTTGTGCAGGGAACGGTTCCTGAGGTGTGTGTCTCGGGTGACAGCCCGCCGGTAAAGCGCTGGATCTCATGCAGCACTGCGTTGGTGCAGGGCAGGCGGGCACGGTCCTCCAGTGCGGGGCACTGGGCCCACCTGTGGTGGTGTCCAGCCCCTCCTGCACCTTGGCTGGGGTCATCAGAGGCCCTGAGGTGTCCTTTATTAAGTCCCACCCCAGCTACCCTCTCCTCACTCAGGCTCCGGGAGGACCCAGCCCCTAACCTGCCACCTCTGGGTACTTGAGCATGATGAGCAGCCGTAACTCAGAGTGGTGCTTGTGGTCCCAGTGCCACCGAAGAAGAGACTGTGAGTCATCATCACCAGGGTCTCATCCTGGAAGTGGCTTTTCAGGTCCTGTTGTTCCTGCAGACAAGGTTCTGCGTTAATAGTCCTAGTTGTCCTGGAACTCACTTTGTAGACCAGGCTAGGCTGGCCTCGAACTCACAGAGATCCACCTGCCTCTGCCTCCCCAGTGCTGGGATTAAAGGCGTGCGCCACCACTGCCTGGTTAGAAGGAGGTTAATGCTGGTTGGCCAGATGGGTAGGGTTAAGGGCAGCAGGAACTTGTACCTTATCCATCTGGTCAAGAAAAACGATCAATGAAGTCACGGGGTTCCCCGGCCTGTTGTGACTGCTGGTGCCACTGAATTTGCTCAGAGATGAAGAGTCGGAGCTCTTGGAAGTTTTTGAAGATTCGGTGGTAGGGACCAGGGATCCAGTCCATGAAGGATGGGAACATACTGTATGTCTGGAGAGACAGAGTTCTGTTTTTTGGTTGTGTCTGTTTTTGAGATGCCTCACTGGGTAGCCTTGGCAAAACCTGTACCGCAATATGTTAGACCAGGATAGCCTCAAACTTAAGAGATTCTCCTCTCTTCCCAGTGCTAGGATCAAAGGCATGTGCCACTACCCCCTGTTGAAATAGTCTTAATAAGTGCTTGGACAAGGTGAGGTTTCCCAATGGGGAGATTAAATGAGGATTTTATGGGTTATAGAACTCTTGTCATTCAAATGACAATCTTGAGACTTCATCTTAATGAGTCACTGCACGTAGGAGTATATATGCCCCGGGGTTTGGCATAAGGCTGTTTGTTCCTAAACGGCAACAATTGGAGCCCATTCTCTCACCTCACCCCATCGGGAACTCATGATGTGGAAATCATCCCTGAAGAGGTCCAGGAGCCTCAGGAACTCCTGGTCCCCATAGTTATAGCGCTTTCCAAAGACCACAGAACAAATGGCATTGGATACAGCGTTATCCAATAGCTGCCGGGGGTCAAATGGAGCTCCTGGGGGCGAGAGCAGCTCCGTGCAGTAAAACTGTGGTCCCCTAAAGGCTAGAAAGATCTGTGGAGGGGACCCCTTACCCTCAAAGCTCCGAATAAGAGCCGGGCTGTGGTGGTGCACGCCTTTAATCCCAGCACTCAGGAGGCAGAGGCAGGCGGATCTCTGTGAGTTCGAGGCCAGGCTAGACTGACAGCCTCCAAAACAATACAGAGAAATCCTGTCTTGTAAAACCAAAACCAAAACAAAACAAAAAAATCCTCCGAATAAGATGGTTTGATACCCTCACACAGAAGCTGTGGTCCCTCCACCTAGATCCTTGGGATCTGCATTGCACCCAAAGCATTTTGGCGCTCCATCAGTCACCCCCGCCCCCACCAGGCACTTAGTCTTTCCCTGCCAGGCTGCACCCATGGTGGCCTGAAATTCGTCCAGCACACAAGCCGCCTCCTCCAGGATGCCATCTTCGATGGTCCTGGTCCCCACACCAAACTCCTTCAGCACCCCAAGTGCAAAGTTCGTCCAGCGCGGCCCATTAGAAAACACTATACCTACGAGTGGGAACCAAGATTCAAGTTGGCCTCGCAGGGTCCAATCACTTGCCACTCTGAGGACTTAATTGCTTTGCTGGTTTCCCAGCCCATGTGCCCTGATCCCGCCTTTGTGGGTTCGATCCTCGACCAGTGCTTGGTCGCTAGGGCTTAGGCATTTAGGATCCTATTGGCTGCATTGTGAACGTCAATTGAACCACACAGGCCTAATGGTTTGCCCTCTTTAGCAGCGGTCTCCACTAAGCCCCGCCCATTTTGCCCGGCTGGTGTAGCACCCTGAGCCTCACAGTTTCCTTGGGTGAAGCGTTCAAAGACAGCCATGGCGTGGCCGGAGAGAGCATCCGCCTGCAGCACTAATGCATCCCGCAGTGCCTTGTAGCCGCACAGCACCGCTGCAGGGCCCGAGACCAGCCACGCGGTGAACACTGGGCCGCAGCGGCTGGAGAGCTATGGGGAGTTTGCTCAGCAAGAGTCAGCCCAGGCTTCTGATCTCCATGGAGACCACAGAGTCCTCATCTTCCTCAGACCCAAGTTTCTGTCTCATTTCACAGGCCCAGCAGTTCTAAACCCCTGCTTCCTTTTCAGACCCAGGAGTCTAGGCCCCAGTTCTCAGACACAGGGGTCTAGACCCTAGCCCTGCCCGGTCAAGGAATCCAGCCACAGCTCTCCTCCCTCAGACGCAAGGGTCCAGACCCCATCTTCCTCCCTCCAGACACCGGAGTCCAGGCTCTGCATCCTCTCAGCTGTTGCATTTCAGTGAACCAGGACTCCAAACCCCTATTCTTGGCATAATAGCACCTTCACAAATCCAGAGCTCTGCTCTCCCAACCCAGCGCGGGAGCTACCTCCAGGAGCGCACGGTCCAAGTGTCCGGACTGTAGCTGCAGCAAGTTCCCCAGCAACGGGAGCGGCTTGGGCCCGGGGGTAAGTCTCTGCAGCAGAGCTCCGCGGACCACCCAACCCCACCAAGCAAGCAGCAGCGTTAGAATCGGCGGCGGCGGCGGCAGCAGCAGCGCTGCCAGGCAGGTGACCGTCTGAGATCCTCGATGCCTGGAGCCTTTGGCGCCTGGAGCCTTTGGCAGCGGTTTAATTTGCAGGGAATTTTAAGGGGCGGGGTAGCAGGGTGGAGACCGGTGTGGGAGGGGTGAGCGTCTGGGGCTTCTCTGTTCCCCAATACCTAAACCCACATCTCCACCTTGCACGCTGCCCCAGGAATACTTCTAGCTCTCCTCACGCCTGTTCTCCCCCAGGCGCCACCCCTGCCTCCCCCCACCCCGGTGTGTGTGTGAGTGTGTGTGGACTCGAGTGCGGCTTCAGCCTGCCATTTTCATGTAGTTACTTTTATTTATTTGTTTGTTTGTTTGTTTTTTTACGAGACAGGGTTTCTCTGTATTGTTTTGGAGGCTGTCGGTCCAGCCTGGCCTCGAACTCACAGAGATCCGCCTGCCTCTGCCTCCCCAAGTGCTGGGGTTAAAGGCGTGCGCCACCACCGCCCGGCTGCCTCAGCCTCTTGAGTGCTGGCATTAAAGGTGTACCCACTATGCCTGGCTCTTTGCATTGCTCCTGGAAGCCTGCATGCTGTCCCCCCTGTACTTGGCCCCGATGCTTGCTGCTGTTCCCTAGGCTCCTGGTGCCACCGGCCTTGTAGCTTCTGGGTGCCTCGTCACATGCAGCTCGGCTTGTCCCTTGCCCGGAACTTTGGCCACCTCTGTCCCCAGGCACCGGCTTTCAGGCCCTGCCGCGGTCCCAAGTCTGTTACTGTAGGACCCGGTGTGCAGCCCCACGGAACCCTCAGGAGACACCCTATCCGAGGCCAGGTCAAGACAGCGGTGTACGTCTCCTTATTATCCCCTCGCTCTGGGGGCACAGGCTGGAGGGGCCCACTCAGGCCTGCAGCAGCCCCTGGGTGGGGCCGGGGTCAGTTCTCGAGGACAGACTGTTCGGGAATGTGGTCCACCTTCCTGCCCCTCCCTTGCCGGTTGGATCCAGTTTTCCTGCCTGGCAGGGAGCCCAGCCCTGGGGGTAAGGTAGGGGCCCTGTAAGAGGCGGATTTGTTTCTGGGAGTGTCTCAGCGTCCCTGTCTTCAGTCCGCTTTCGCCTCCCTCCCGTTTCTGTGTTCCTCTGCTCTCTGCACCGCCTCTCTCTCCATCGGCCTCTGCCTCTGCCTCCATTTTCTCTCTCCTCCTCCTTCTTCCCCCCACCCCCACAAACCTCTTTCCCTCTCTGAATGTCTCCAGTTTTATCTTTTTTTTTCTTTTAGATAATTATTTTATGTGTGTGTTGGCTTGCGTGTGTGCCTGGTGCCTGGGGAGGTCAGAAGAGGGCGTCATACCCCGTGGAGCTATAGTTAAACTGCCAAGAGAATGCTGGGCATCGAGCCTGGGTCCTCCATAAAGACAAGTGCTCTTAACTACTGAACCATCCCTCCAGCCCCCAACCTCCCCTTTTAAAAACAGGGTCTCAGGCACCCTGGGTGCCTCCTTATGTAGTCAAGGATGACTTCAAACTCCTGATCCTTCTGTCTCTACCTCCCAGTGCTGGGCTCACAGGCATCGTCACCACAGCCTTTTATACAGCGCTGGGTGATGGAGCCCTGGTGTCTGTGCATGCTGGGCAAGGATCCAATCAGATGAACAGCATCCCCAGCCGCCAGGCTCCGCCTCATGCTCCTGCGTCAGGGGTCTGCCTCTGCAGCACCCTCCTTTTGAGGGGCAACACCCTTACTCAGGGGCGGGGCGGGGTGGGGCTAACCGCCCTGAAGGATGAGATGCTCTTCCTGCCCAGCCCTGCCCCCGTGGGTCAGAATGATGGCTTCTCTATATCAGAGTCTGGGTTTCTCTCCAACTCCTGACCCCTGTTCTCCTTGTGTTGGGCTGTACACTGGAGTACCAGCTGTTCAAACCCAGGATTCATTCTTTAGAACTCTGTTTTCAACTTGAAATCATTCTAATTTCTCCCTTTAATCAAGTTTTTATTAGCATATGTTGTACATATTAGCAGGTTTCGTCGTGACATTTTCATACATACATACATACTTGCATACATACTTACATACATACTTACTTACATACACACATACATACTTACACACATACATACTTACATACACACATACATACTTACATGCATACATACTTACATACATACATACTTACAGACTTATATACATACATACTTGCATACATACTTATAGACTTATATACATACATACTTGCATACATACATACTTATATACATACATACACACATACATACATACTTACATACACACATACATACTTACACACATACATACTTACATACACACATACATACATGCATACATACTTACATACATACTTACAGACTTATATACATACATACTTGCATACATACATACATACATACTTACATACTTACATACATACATACTTATATACTTACATACACACATACATACTTACATACATACATACTTACATACATACACACATGCATACATACTTATATACATACATACTTACATGCATATTTACATACATACATACTTACATACATTCATACATACGTATATACCTATATACACACATACTTACATACATACATACTTACATACTTACACACATACATACTTACACACATACACACATATACACACATACATACATACATGCGTATAATGCATTTTGATCACATTCTCCCGGCCCCCCACGCTCTCTTGTCCCACCCCTCTCTCACTGACCCCCATCCTCTTCCTGGCTAGTCCTTCTATTTTCATTTCTTTTTTTTTTTTTGGTCAAACAATGAGTTGTTAGCATCACAGGCAGGAGCACGGACAGCTTACTTGTGGGGATGCACTGAAGACGCCCTCTCCTCTCCCAGTGACGGTTAATTGCCTGCAGACCCCCAGGGAGGGCCAGGGCCCTGTGAACTCCCACCCCTTCAGAAGCAGGCCGGCAGGCGTCTTCCAACCCTTAATTTGTGCCAGACATGGTGGTGCACGCCTTTGGTCCCAGCGCTCGGGAGACAGAGGCAGGCGGGTCCCTGTGGTTAGAGGCCAGCCTTCTTCCTACCTGATTCAGCCTTTCTCTAATCTCTCTCTCTCTCTCTCTCTCTCTCTCTCTCTCTCTCTCTCTCTCTCTCTCTCTCTCTCTCTCTCTCTCTCTCTCTCTCTCTCTCAGATTTAGGGTAGAGATATGGATCAGCGGTTAAGAGCACTCCAGAGGACTCAGGTGTGGCTCCCAGCACCCACACGATAGCTCATAACTGCCTATAATTCCATTCCAGGGGTTCCGACTCCTTCTTCTGGTCTCTGCAGGCACCAGACATGCACATGGCGCACACTCATACCTATAATATAAATCTTAAAAAGTTTATTATTATTTTTAAAATGTGTGTGTGTGTCCATGCGTGTCACATGAGTACGGATGAACATGGAGTTCAAAAGAGGATATCAGATCTCCTAGAGCTGGCATTCCAAGCGATTATGCATCACCCAACATTATGCTGGGAAACAGATAGGTTTCCTGAAGCAAGCAAGCATTCTTAATCTTGAAGCCACCTCTCCAGCCCACGCCTTACGCATTCTAAAACAGTGTTCTCATTGGTGGATTCTGGGCAAGCGCTCTACCACCAAACTGCTCCTGCAGGTCTCATGGGTGGATTCTGGGCAAGCGTTTCCCACTGAGCCACCTGCCCTACTCTTCCAATTACTTTTTTCATCGCCGTGAACAAATACAAAGGTGGCCAAACACGAAGCGACTTAAGAAAGGAAAGCCAGAAAAGGGTGTTGGAGAATATTTTAAAAACCCAACTTGCATGCTTTCAATATACAAGGGTATATATTAAAATTCACCATTTGGGGTAGGGAAATGAGAGCATTATTGAGGGAAAGTTGGACCAAAACAATACCCAAACCCATGAAGGAAATGCTAAATTCTGAGGCTCCATGTTCAGCATCTAGAGTGGTTCTCAACCTGTGGGTCCCGACCCCTTTGGAGGGTCAAAATGACACTTTCACAGGGGCCGCCTAAGACCTTTGGAAAACACAGATATTTACTTTATAATTCATAACAGTAGCAAAATTACAGTTATGAAGTAGCAATGAAAATAATTTTGTGGTTGGAGTCACGACAACATGAGGAACTGTATTAAAGGGTTGTGTCGTTAGGAAGGCTGAGAACCACCGCTGGAGCTTGTGGTGACATCGTCTGGACTCCAAGGGTGTGGTAGTCCCTCACCTCTAGTTCTGGTACCTGCTGCGGGCTGGACCCCATATCTGCAGCATGTCAGCATCCTGGGGATAGATACCACAGACACTTGGGCTCCTCCCTTCAGCCTCACACAGTGGTCCCATGGGATCTCCTCGATGGGAGTCTGACCCTGCTAAGAACTGCTTGCCTTCTGTGGCTTTCTGGAACCGTGGTGCAGGACTCCATGAACCCATAACACATGTATTCCTGAATGCCTCCCGAATCAGGACCACACGGTTGATTCTGCCAAATTCTGCTGCCGGATCGAGATAGTGTCTAAGTGAGGGTTTTTATCGGTGTGCTAAAGCTCCATAATAAAAATCATCTTGGGGTATAAAGGGTTTTTTTCAGGTCGCAGCCCTCACTGAGGACTGTCAGAGCAGGCGCTGCAACAGAGGCCGTGGAGGAACCCGGCTTACTGACTTGCTCTCCACGCTCATCCAGGACCAACCTCCCCGGGCGGGGTGGGGGTGAAGTACCAGACCCTCTCCCAGCAACCTCATGGAGGAAGTCTCAGGCAAACATCCCCTTTCCCAGATAACTCTAGCTTGTGTCAGGCTGATGAGACACTGCCCACCCTTTCCCTCAGCTGTAGTGGCCTCTGTGTGCCTGGGCTGCTGAACCTGGCAAAGACTTGTTCCGATGGTTGCTTCTCAATCCTCAGCCGCTCTCCTGTCAAATGAATGTGTAGTTTCTCAAACTGGAGCCTTCACTGAGTGGAGTTTTACATTCAGGTCACCGTTCGTCCATTTGTCGAGTCAGGCTTCTTTAATTGCTCTCATCTCTTTAACAACTGTAGCTGGATGACAGTGGCGCTCGCCTTTAATCCCAGCCCTCAGGAGGCAGAGGCAGGAGGATCTCTGTGAGTTTGAGGCCAGTCTGGTCTACAGAGTGAGTTCCAGGACAGCCAGGGCTACACAGAGAAACCCCATTTCAAGCCCCCCTCCACAAAACAAAAACAAGAACCAAAAATCCCCCACAATTACCGATGCTTTGTCCGAGCCCTCCTCGTAGGGGACTATAAACTGCCCCATTCTTTTCCTCGCCAAACTGCACATTTTTTGCCATATATATTTTGGTTTGTGCCACTGTAGAAATGAGTAAGTGCAGTCTTCACACTACGGCTGAATGTTAGTACTATCCTGGAATTTCCTTCACCAAAGTAGCATATTACTTTAAAAACTAGATACTTATTCATTCTTTTGTTTATTTGTTTAAAGACAGGGTCTCACTGTGTAGATGAGGCTGGCCTTGAACTCAGAGATCCACCTGCCTCAACCACTTGATTGCTGAGATTAAAGGCAGGAGGAGCCATGACTTGTCTGTTTTAATTTTTTACTTTTATTTTATTATTACTATTATTTTAGTTTTGGTTTTTCAAGACGGGGTTTCTCAGTGTAGCCCTGGCTATCCTGGATCTCACTATGTAGACCAGGCTAGTCTCCAACTCAGAGATCTGCCAACTCAGAGAAGTGCTAGGATTAAAGACATGCACCGCCACCATCCAGTCATCTATATTTATTTATTTATTTATCTGTTTGTTTGTTTTTCGAGACAGGGTTTCTCTGTATTGTTTTGGAGGCTGTCCTGGAACTCACTCTGTAGACCATGCCTCAAACTCACAGAGATCCGCCTGCCTCTGCCTCCCGAGTACTGGGATTAAAGGCATGCACCACCAATGCCAGGCTTTATATACGTTTTAAAGGTTTATTTATTTGTTATGTATACAGCATTCTGTCTGCATGTATCCCTGCTGGCCAGAAGAGGGCATCAGATCCCACTGTAGATGGTCATGAGCCACCATGTGGTTGCTGGGAGTTGAACTCAGTGTTCTTAACCTCTGATCCATCATCTCTCCAGGCCCTGTTTTTACTTTTATTTATGGGTATACTTGTGTGTGGGTATGTATGCCATGCATGTGCAGTGCCTGCATCGCCAGAAGAGAACATCAGAGCTCTGGGGCCAGAGTCACAGAAGGTTGCCAGCTGTCTGGCGTGGGTGCTGGGAACCCAACTTGGGTCCTCTGCAAGATCAGTACGTACTCTTAGCCCTGAGCCATCTCTCCAGCCCAAGCCCATTCATCCTCATTCAAAATGTTCCAGTCTGGGTAGAAAGAGACTTAGATGGACTGCATCTTAGCTAGGGCTGATGTAGCTGTGAGGAAACACCGAGACCAAAAGCAACTTGGAAAGGAAAGGGTTTGTTTGGCTGGCATACCCAGCACCGCAGTCCATTGAGGGAAGCCAAGGGAGGAGCTCAACCTGAGTGGGCTCCCGGGAGCAGGGGCTGATGCAGAGGCCACGGAGGAGAGCTGCTTACTGGCTCGCTCAGCCTGCTTTCTGACAGAACCCAGGACCACCAGCCCAGGGATGGCACTGCCCACAACTGGCTGGGCTCCCTCCCCTCAATCACAGATTAAGAAAAGTCCTATAGCCTTGCCTGTAGCCAGACCTTACGGAGACATTTTCTCAAGAGAGGCTCCCTCCTCTCAGATGACCTTTAGCCTGTGTCAGGTTTACATAAAACTAGCCGGGCACAGGATGCGACACAGATGGCTTCCAGCCCAGCTCCCCTCTGAAGCGGAAACACACCTTTAGAAACGGAGCTTGCTGAAGAGCGTCTACTGTCCAGGTTGCCCTACAAGTGTCTCCTTCACTTTGCCTGAAATAGTGGGATATCGTTCTTCACGAGTCACCTTGGCACCCTCGCCACAGGGATCAGCCTTCAAAAGGGCTGCGCCTGGGGCAGGCGGGATCGGTCATCTCGTAGGTGTCAGGTGGTTCCGGTCCAGCATGACAGTGAGGCCGACGTCTTTGGGACTGCCTTGCAGAGTGAGAACAGAGGCAGGGGAACAGGACCACACCTTGGCCAGTTAATAGTGCTGTAATTGTGCCCATTTTCTCTCCCTTGCTTGGCCTTTGCTGTTCCTGTCCCCTGTGTTTAAACCTGAAGTCAGTATTGTATGCCAGTGATGAGCGAAGAGGAAGGACACGTGAAGGCTTTATTTGCTCCTCTTTCCGATGTAATCACACGGAGTAAATTTCTCACTTTCATTACTGTGGAACGGTGTCTGAGCCTAGCTTCCTTCCTTCCTTCCTTCCTTCCTTCCTTCCTTCCTTCCTTCCTTCCTGTTTTTCTTTCTCCCCCCCCTTCCCCCCAAAGACAAGGTCTCAACATGTAGCTCTGGCTGTCCTGAACTCACTGTGTTGACCAGGCTGCGTCTTGACAGAGATCCGCCTGCATCTGCCTCCCGAGTGCTGGGCTTAAAGGCGTGCACCACTGTGCCAAGCTGAACCTAGCTTTTGGGGGCTGCTGGAGCCCAGGCTTTGCCGTAAAGAACTTGCTAGGGCTGTGGGCATGGCAGCTCATAACGGTCCATGACTTTAGTTCCAGAGGATCTGACGTCTTTTTCTGACCTCCATGGGAACCAGGCACACACGTGGCGCACAGACCCACGAAGGCAAAACACCCGTGCCTAAAACAAAACAAATAAATATAAGAAAAGCAAAACAACAACAACCCCAAACCAAGAGCTTGCTGCAAAACTTTGTGCACCCAGCCTCCATTACTGTTTGCCTTTCTCTCGGCTCTTTGGTCTCCCAAACTCCCTCCAGAAGGCTCCGCTCCGGGCTTCCTCCATACTCCACCCACAAAGCAGTCACAGGGCCCTGGAACCACGAGTCCTAGTCGGTCACAGCATCGACCCTGCTCAGCGCTACTTTCTGTCTAACTTCCTTGTGTCCATGACCAGGCATCTGGGAGGAAGCCTCCAATAGAGGAAGTGGGGGGGGGAAGGCGTACAGGAACAAAACAAGCCTTTGGGTCTTTACAGGTAGCACGTTCAGTGGTGGCGCTTGCCTTTAATGCCCGCACGCTGGAGGCAGAGGCAGGAGGGTCTCTGTGAGTTCGAGGCACAGAACCTAGAGCCTGCATAATCCAAACAAATAGACAAATGTGTCGTTACTTAGTCACCCATCTCCTCATTGGTAAACTCTAGGCAAGCACTCCATCACTGTGCCATGCCTGGGCCCCTCACTGCTTAATTTTAGGCAAGTGCTTTTCAGCTGAGCCACCCTTCTAGCCCTCACTGGGGGATTCTAGGCAGGGGCTCTGCCACTGAGCCACACCCCCAGCCCCTCACTGGGGGATTCTAGGCAGGGGCTCTAACACTGAACCCTCCAGCCCCTTGTTGGGGGATTCTAGGCAGGGGCTCTGCCACTGAGCCACACCCCCAGCCCCTCACTGGGGGATTCTAGACAGGGGTTCTACCACTGAGCCGCACCCCCAGCCCCTCACTGGGGGATTCTAGGCAGGGGCTCTAACACTGAACCCTCCAGCCCCTTGTTGGGGGATCCTAGGCAGGGGCTCTACCACCGAGCCACACCCCTAGCCCCTCATTGGGGGATTTTAGGTAAAGGATCAGCATTCTTTTTACTTTTTGTTTTGAGACAAGCTTTCGCTGCATTGCCCAGTCTGGCCTTGAACTTGTGACGACCCTGCCCCAGCTTCCTACATATCTGGAGTTGTAGACCTGTACCAACAGACCTGGTTTCCGAGAGTGAGCCCCACTCACGCTTGCAGCCCATGCTGGCCTCCAGGTCAGGACCACTTGTCTCAGCCTCCCAAGTGCCAAGATTCTAGATGCACCACCACGCCTCGGTCTCGTTTGCATTGGCACGTGTTTCTCCTCGTCTGCTCTCCCCAAGCTTCTTTATGCCTGTTTGAGCTCTGAACGGGGCCTTGTGATCTCCCTGTAGGGATTAAGAAGTCAATGTCCCATGTCAAGATCATCTATGGGCCTCACCCAGGCCAGCCTCAGGCTCTGTAGAGCGTGTCCCAACTTCTGATGGCTTTGGGGAGACTCTTTTCAAGGCGGGTCTCTCTACCTTAGTGCTGCCTGTGGCTGGGAGCCAGACTCGCTGTGCCTGCAGCTTGGGAGGAAAGCTGTCATCAGCAGAGTGTCAAGTTGTCAGGGTCGGTACTGAGCTGTGAAGCTTCGTGCCTGAGACGGTAGCCCCACCCTGGAGGGAGAAATTGCAGAGCAAAGGAATTGGCCTGTGGGGGTGGGGGTGGGGGTGGGGATGGGGTGGGGTGGGGTGGGGTCTGGGAAGTGAGAGTCTATCTTCCTTCATTTCAACATTTCCACACATGCTTCTTATCTTTCCTCTTTCCTTTTATCCTTTTGTGTTTCCAGCACTAGGAATTGATCCTAGAGCACTGCACATGCTAGGCAGTGAGCTACCATTGAGCTATGCCCCCTCCCTGCCCCTCACTGGGGGATTCTAGGCAGGGGCACTACCACTGAGCCACGCCCCCAGCCCCTCACTGGGGGATTCTAGGCAGGGGCTCTACCACTGAGCCACACCCCCAGCCCCTCACTGGGGGATTCTAGGCAGGGGCTCTACCACTGAGCCACACCTCAGCCCCTCACTGGGGGATTCTGGGCAAGCTCTGTACTGTAGAGCAACATTTCAAGCCTGTGTTTGTTTGTTTTTTTTCCTGAGAGGTGGGGCAGGGTCTTATTATGTAACCTTGTTTGGGCTGGGACTCACTCTTGTAGACCAGGCTGGTTTCTACCTACTGAGTTCTGGGATTAAAGACCACGCTTAGCTTCCAAGCCCTTTTGCTTTTTGAGACTAGACCTCACTATGTTGCTCAGGATGTCTCTCGAACTCACTCAGTAGCCAGGCAGGCTTTGACTAGTGACTCCTGCTGCAGTCTCTGGAGTCACCCAGATTGTGGGCCTGGCTTTCCAGGCCTGCTTTTCTCTTTCTTTGCTTTTTCCTCCTCTACCTGCCTCTTGGGTGCTCTCTCTCTCTCTCTCTCTCTCTCTCTCTCTCTCTCTCTCTCTCTCTCTCTCTCTCTCTCTCTCCTCTCTCTCCTCTCTCTCCCCCCCCCTCTCTCTTCCTCTGTCTTCTTTTTAAATTGGGGCATAATGACACACACCTTAATCCCAGAACTCAGGAGGAAGAGGCAGGTGGATCTCTGTGATTTTGGGGGCCAGCCTGGTCTACAGATTGAGTTCCATCCAGGACAGCCAGGGCTACACAGTGAGACCCTGTCTGGGAAAAACAAACAAACAAACAAATAAAAAACCCAAAAGCAAAGCAAACAAACAAACAACAACAAAAACCAACTAAACGGAAAACTTTATAAAGTGTATGTGCGCCACATACATGGCTATGTGCCTGTGGAGGCCAGAGAGGGTGTTAGATCCCCTGGAACTGGAGTGAACAACCGTGAGCCGCCATAACCAGTGTCATTTGGAAGAGCAGCAACGGGTACACTGAGGCAGCTCCCCAGTCCCCGTTTTCTGCTTTGGTTTTGGCCTCTCCGCTCTCACCCACGGTTGACAATGTTTTCCTGTGTCTCTCTGCGCCCTCTGGTTTATTAAAAGGCAGTGGTCAGAACAGCGATCTCTGTGGCCTTTGCCACCGTGTTCAGATCCAGCCCTACTCATTTCTGACGCCGCGGTCTGGGGCAAATCACCTCACCTTTCTGAGACTCAGTCTGGTGTGTGATCAGGTAATAACAGCCCTTCTTTTTTCCATGGAGGGCTAAAGGCGGCACCTAGAACCCTTTCCTTAGGAAGCATGGTGTAGCGATTGTAATTGTTCCTCGGCCTGTCAGCTTCTCTGGCTTCAACCCCACAGGCCCCTGGCTTAGTATCGCTCCTGGCAGCCTTTCCCTTCTTTCTTCGTTTCTCTGCTTCTCTTTTCTTAGGACCCCATATCCCTTGCTTTCCAGCTGGTCTTCAAGAGACATTAGCTCCGCCCCCCTCCGTTTCTGTTTGCTGTACTGGAGACCGGACCAAGGGCAAGGAACATCAGTGAGCTATATCTTCAACACTTTCAAAAACTTAACCAAGAGACAAGGTCTAGTTAATCTGGCTTTGAACTCAATCTGTAGTTCAGACAAGTCTTCAATTTTGTAACCCGCGACTCCAGGAGGGGTTTAGGGTAGGCGGAGCTTAGGATGGGCGGGGCTTAAGGAGAGCGTGTCTCCCATTCTTCAGGCATCCAAGACCTCTTCCTCACCGCAAAGCAGTGGTTTTCAACCTTCCTAACGCTGAGATCCTTTAATACAGTTCCTCATGTTGTGGTGACCCCAGCCATAAAATTATTTTCGTTGCTGCTTCATAACCGTAATTTTGCTACTGTTATGAATTCTAATGTAAATATTTGATACGGAGATGGTCTTAGGCGACCTTTGTGAAAGGGTGGTTCAGGCTGCAGACAGAGAACTGCGGCCATAAAGGGTTTTTCTCTTCTATTAATTCAGCCAAGTCAGGTACAAATCTATTGCCAAGATGTTTATTAGGAAATGATACAAAAAGTCTGGAAATGATGGGTCCATTACAGAATAGCTTCTGTGGGTATAAGGCATACATTTCCCCTTTGTCGTGTCACTCTCTTCTGGAAGACAGGCTTAAGACAGGAGGGGTAAAGGACCGACACGTGGCAGGCCCAGTGTTTGGGGAATGTGAGGGACACTGGACACCGGGCCCTGGGTGCGGCACTCAGCGAGCGCGCACACACAGCTGGAAAGGCCTTGGCAAATTGCCCAGCCCTGAGCTAAGCGGGGTCAGGTCGATGTCCTCGGGCTCCACCAGCGGATGCAACGTGAAGTTCTGCAGAATGGAGGTGAAGTATAGGAAGAGCTCCATGCGCGCCAGTGGCTCCCCCAGACACAGTCGGCGCCCTGGGCGGGTGGGAGGGGCCAGGAGTAACGGTGAGATAGGAGTCTGGGGCTGCGCCCTCAGACGCTCAGAGGAGGATAGGTGGGCTTGAAGATAACGGTTGGCGGGAAACGAAGCCAAAGTAGCTGTCAAATCCTATATTGGAAGGCTCCCACAGCTGGGACGCAGCTGGGTTGCAATCCAGTATGATCTGGCTACGGAGCCCAACTCTCAGCCGCTGCCCCTTCTCAGAGGCACCCAAAAGGTTACATGGTAGTTTATCTGACATTATCCTTCCTCCTCCCTGAGTAAATAGGATTCCCGCTCTCTTTTCCCTTCCCCGACCCCTTCCTCCTCCCGCACTGCCAGCCGGGCAAGGTAGTTAAGGAAAACCAGACCCAGCCTCGCCACCTAGTGGCGAGTCTGATAATAATCCTCCTTAATTAATTGGTTTCCACCTGGGTGTTACAGGAGCCAAATTGGAAAAGGGAAATCTGGGCCTGTAAAGCTAAGAAAGGGGTGGGATCGAGAAGGCTTGGCGAGTAGAGTTAGGGTTATAGTCCAAAACAGTGACTCCATCTCTTACCAGCCGAAAACGGCATGAAGGCAGGGCTCTTCTTGAAGCATTGATTGGCATCCAGAAAATGCTCGGGATTGAATTCATGAGGCGTCTTGAACTGGTCGGAGTCATAGTGCACGGTGTTAAGAAGCGTGATGACATCTGTGCCCTGTGTGGGTGAGGGGACAGAGTCAATGATGTAGACTCACTGAGGATTTAAAAATTACGTGTATGCGTGTTTGCCTGCATGGGTGCAATGGCCAAGGAGATCGTGAGTTGCTATGTGGATGCTGGGAATCCAATCCGTGTCCTCTGGAAGAGCAGCCCGTGCTCTTAAAGCTGCTAAGTCATCTTTCCATTCTGGAAGAGGGTTGTTTTGTTTCCCTCAAACTTTGGTTTCCATGCTGCAAAGAGGGAGCTTGTAGGGGCTTGAGAAGGAGGCCAGGGTGGGGTGCAGACTCCATCCAGGGTTCCTAGGGATAGGTTCGAGAAGCTGGGGCTGGGTGTTTGAGAAACAGGAGGGGCCGCCCTTGGCCCTGAGCTTTGTAGAGATGTAGGGTTTCTGAGGGAGGGGTCCTCCAAGAATGGCATTTTGGTCTCAGGAGATGTTCAGATGAAGTCCCAGACCCTGGTGATTCTGGAGCGGGGTCCAAGGAAGGGTCTTGAGGTGGGGAACAAGTATAGCATTCCAGTTCCTTCTGGTATGAGATGGGGTTCTGGGAAAGGACTCTGTTTTTAAGAGTCTAAGATGGTTAAGCCTGGGGTGGGGTGGCCTACGCTTGTAATCCCAGCTCACAGGAGGTGGAGGCAGGAGGACCAGGAGTTCAAATTCATCCTTAGTTACATAGGGAGTCTGGGCAAACCTGGGATACAAGAGACTTCTGACTCAAAAAAAAAAAAAGTAAAAAACAGGGGGAGAGATGGCTCAGGTGTTAAGAGAACCGGCTGCTCTTGAGGAGGACTTGGGTTTGAGTCCAGCACCCACACGGTGATGCTCAACTCTAGCTCTAAAGAGTACAGCACCCTCTTCTGCCCGCCTCGAGCACTGCATAAATATGGTGTACAGACATACTTTTAGGTAAAACACCCAGTCCCACACATACAAAATAAAATAAAAAATTTGGAAAAAAATGTTAAAAAATTTTCAGAAACGAGCAACTTCTCACCTCTGGAGAAGCTGATTGCTAAGGCTAGGGGTACCGTTTAGCCAATTACAAGAGCCTGAGATACCTCTTCCTAGGTAACCCCATGTCGTTTCGGGGACCCTGCACACCTTGGGTATCAGGAAGCCGCGGAAAGGCGTGTCCCGAATGACGCGATGCGGCAGGTTCATGGGGATGACGTCCGCGAAGCGCTGCACTTCGTGGATCACGGCGTCTGTGTAAGGCATGTTCGCGCGGTCCTCCAGCAACGGCATCCGCGAGCGTCCCACCACGCGGTCGATCTCCTCCTGCACGCGGGCTGGAGGTGGTAGGGGAAGGCAGTGGATGATGGCTCCCGGGGAGCGGCGGGGAGCGGCACAGGTTTGTGCGAGAGCCCGGGAAAGGCTCAAGTCAAAGCTGTCCTAGCAGCCTTCAGTGGACCGTAATCCTTGTACCCGGGAAGCTGGGGCGGGAAGATTGCTGCGCGTTCGGGGCTAATCTGGGGTTTCCAAGTATTCGTTTTCGAGAGAGGGCAAATAATGGTTGCTGCAAAGGTTTCTGGGTGTGGGTTTATAAAGGTGGGCTTCAGGGCTGGTTGGATGCCAGGACCCTCATTTGATTTCTCAAAGGGCTTT